ACAGAATCTTCGAAGCCTCAATCAGATATTCTCAACCCTGGTTTTCTGGTGTATTCAACTCGCTAAAATCATGTTTTATTACCCTGGCGGAGGTGTAGGTATCTACCTTGAAGCTTTACTGTGGTATTTCATCTATCAAAGGCATCAAATATTGATTAGCCCTGCATGCAGAATGGATACACCCCTGATCTCTGGTAAAGATAATTTGAATGCCATGAATCATCGAATCTATATTCGCTTCATCATATAATATGGGTTACGAAGCTCTTTTGTACTGTGGGGTGTCCGCTTGACTAAGATGGATTTACGGAGCCATCCATGGATGCCACAGGGGCTTAGCCTAGACTTCCAGGGGTCCAATGGGCTGGGCTAGGCGATCGGCTTGCGGAATAATCTTCTCGCGGAGCCAGCCGCGTCAGAGTCGCTCGGGAGAGGTGTCCTCTTGAGCTAAGCTATCTATTCCTGGGGGGCTGAGGATCGGACCGGACAACTTTACTGCTTTGTCCTTTGAGCCTCATGAATCTTGTTTCTCCTAATGCTCCGCTTGACACGCTCCTTATGATACCTTAGCGGGTGCCTCATTGTTCAATTTCTGTTTCTTGCGGAGCTGCAACGTTCAATTAGCTTGCCTTGCGCGTAGCTGCAAGCTCTCCATAACCCCTTGAAGCGAGCGCACTCTTGGAGAGTGAGGGGACACAGCCGAGATGCCGCCCAAATCTCGTTTCACAAGGCTGGATGCCTTCACGAAAACGGTCGAGGATGCGCGAATCAGAACAACTTCTGGTGGGATTGTGACCATAGTGTCGCTCATCGTTGTCCTCTACCTGGCGTGGGGAGAATGGGCAGACTACAGGAGGATAGCTATTCATCCTGAGCTGATCGTGGATAAGGGAAGAGGTAAGCTTCGCACCGACCCAATTGATGATCAAGGGACTGACAAGACGGCCACACAGGCGAGCGAATGGAAATTCACTTGAACATTACCTTCCCCCACATTCCTTGCGAATTGCTCACTCTCGATGTAATGGATGTATCGGGCGAGCAGCAACACGGCGTGCAACATGGTGTGAACAAAGTCAGACTTAGAGCTGAATCTGAGGGAGGTGGTGTTATCGATGTCAAGGCGCTCGATCTACATCGGGAAGATGAAGCGGCCAAGCACCTGGATCCCAACTACTGCGGCCAGTGCTACGGAGCATCTCCGCCGAGCAACGCAATGAAGCCTGGATGCTGCAACACCTGTGACGAAGTCCGGGAGGCATATGCGCAAGCATCATGGGCCTTTGGTAAGGGCGAAGGTGTCGAACAGTGCCAGCGTGAACATTACGCTGAGCGATTGGAGGAGCAGAGGCGTGAGGGCTGTCGTATCGAGGGTGGGCTCCGTGTGAACAAGGTAGTTGGAAACTTCCACTTGGCACCGGGACGAAGCTTCAGTAATGGCAACATGCACGTTCACGACCTTAAGAACTACTGGGAGAACCCCAACGACGGCTACTCGTTCTCGCATACGATTCACCATCTCCGCTTTGGTCCGCAATTGCCAGAGTCGATCACAAAGAATATGGGCTCGAAGGCTCTTCCCTGGACGAACCATCACCAGAACCCCCTGGACGGCATCAAACAGGTTACAGATGACCCGAACTTCAACTACATGTACTTTGTCAAGATTGTGCCCACCTCGTACCTCCCTCTTGGCTGGGAGAAGAAGAATCGCGGTGGATATACAGAGGATGGTGCCGCGCTGGGCTCCTTCGGCCAAGGCGCAGACGGAAGCGTCGAGACGCACCAGTACTCCGTCACAAGCCATAAGCGTAGCTTAGCTGGAGGTGATGATCGCGCTGAAGGCCACGAAGAGCGTCTGCACTCAAAGGGTGGTATCCCAGGCGTGTTCTTCTCATATGTAAGTCAACTTATCATGAGCTTCGAGTTGACTGGATTAGACGCTGACACAATCCTTAGGACATCTCGCCGATGAAGGTCATCAATCGCGAGGAGAGGCCAAAGACATTTGCTGGGTTCCTGACTGGCCTCTGTGCGGTCATTGGCGGCACGCTTACCGTGGCGGCGGCTGTGGATCGTGGTGTATTTGAGGGCGCAACTAGGTTAAAGAAGATGAGGTCGAAGGACTTGTAGAGAAGCTCTATGTTATGTAGAATAGGTATGCTTCGGTTCTCTGATTTGCTAAGCATGGGGTGTGGAGTTCAGGATAGTAAGGAAAACTGCTCTTGATATGAACAACCTGAAAGCATATTGCGTATTGAGTCATCTGAATAGGGAAAGTGAAGAGCTTAGCTGTCAGCTCAGTCACACTCAAGAGCAACTTACTACTTTCCGCATAGTTTTGTGTATCTTGAGACGCATTTCTTTAGTGTCACGCGTATAAACAAACATCGTGTACGAGATTGTCACTTTTTCTACATCTCACGATGCTGTCGTAAACAATCGGACCACCTGGCAACCCTAAATAGGTTGCAAGCCCGGTGAAATAAGACAGTACAAGTTGTCAGCCATAGCTTGGCAAAGGCGCTCACTCCCACCATTCACAATTGACCGGATCTCGTGTCTTTTTATTGAGTAATAAATTGAGGGCTTCCACAAACATGCCCACGTCCGGGATAGCCTTGGTCGAGTGTAATTTCGCCTGTTGCGGAGGCCCCCATTTGCGGTTTACGGTACAGCTGCAACGTCCCGCCTGCAATCCACACGTGCAGATTGTCTCTGCCGAGAGGACTGTTGCAAGGGTTCTCCACGTCCCCCGGCCTGCCACTGGACGGCGCGGATTACACCTTGCTTTTTGGTGCTATCTTTGCAATCAATTTTCAAGATTTGGGAGCTTTCGAAACAGTAGGAGACGGTGGACGTGATTGGCCTGGCGCGGCAGTTGTTCATCTCAGCACTGATGACGGCCACCCAGCGATGCGGACCCCGATAGGGCCATCAATCTGAAACATTTTGCCACTTTCTGATGTAGTGAAGCTTGATATTTCTTGAATCTACGAGAAGCCTTGGAGAGTCGCGAAGGGTCTACCCCTGAGAACCGCAAACTTGCTAAAGGGTGTGAGTGAGGGGTACAGCGATGAAGTAATGTGCGGCGAAATGTCGTGTGCTGTCGCTCTGCGGTTAGCCGCTTTAACAGTACAGCATGTAACATGTACAAGCTTCGTGACCTGTGGCCCCGTGGGTTTATCTTGTATATACAGGACACTACAGTCTCAACCGAGATCAAAAGCAGATGCTCCCGAGGGCGCTATCTTTTCGGGAATATGGCCCTGAAGAAAGACAGCACACGATGCTGACACGATTGAGCAGCCGATTGGGCCGCGGTCTTGGCATACCTCGTATTCGACTCTGAGGAAACTTATCGATTGTGTGGGCCTTGGCTAGACGGACCTGGCCTCATCGCCAACTAGGTCTAGAAGGATGTCGTGAGAGGGGACAGGTAACAATTTTCAGATAACCGAACTGTATAGAATCGAGACAGAGCTAGCTGACGGGATGCTATTCTCGATGCCGCCTCTGGAGAAATTATACGGCATGTTGACTTTGTTTTTCCAGTGAATATCGTGTCTGGCAGGTGTATGTATGTATGTATGGTGAGTTTGTTTGATTGCACCACAAGCCACGGCAAAAAGGCGCCTCGGTTGGGTTGTCACGATCATTACCCCTGAATGAGATGGAGCCAGAAAAATATGCCTAGTGCAGCCACTTAAGCTTTAAGGACACATGCTCCTACTGCAGACACACGCTTCAGTTGATCCACTGCGATAGATGCTCCAGCTAATTGGCATCTAACGTGAAGAGAAGTTGGTCGAGTTGGAGAACTAGAGTTTGCTTCTGGTGCAATCGAGATGCTTTCGCCTCGTCTCATGTTGTCCGGCCAGGGGGCCGGTCTGTCAGCCACAAGCCCCTGTCACGATCGTCGGCTGCCGCCATTTACAACGGCGCAAGCATCAGTGCAGATCTGGGAACCAACCTGCCTCATCGATTGCCCACCCCTACTTAAGTCGTCTCGCCATCGCTTTACTGCTTCACTGGGGCGGATGGGTGAATGATTGATTGATGGATGGATGGATGGAAATCCCAGCAAGAATGATGACGCCGATGCCGCCACAGTTGAATCTGGGTACCTTTAATGTAGAGACTCCAACTTGCCAGTGAGATCTCTTCAAGCTGGAGGAGAGGGAGAGAGGTTGCGTGTGCGTGGAGTCTCTTACTACTCACCTAACCCGTTCCGCCAGTTATCGCGGCCGGTTCATGTAGGGTGGTGCAAGTCGTCATTTAACAGGCCGCCGTAGAAAAGATCGAGAAAAAAAGGGGAAATTGGGACAGACGGCCGCCGCCTGTCAGCAGGGCAGCACCAGGACCCGGAGAGGAGCAACAAGGTGGGTGGCTGTCTACCTCAGCAACAGGACAGAAAACAGCCAGCCAAAACAACAGACACAGACGAAGAGCCCCTCGAGCCCCTCTGCTGGCTGGAGAGCTGGCCACTGCTGGCGTACCTTAGGCCCCTCAGGCCCCTAGAGAGAGTGGAGGTACCCCATACTTTGTGGCTGCTTTTAGCGGCGAGACCCCTTCTTTTCTTTGCAGCACGGCCAGTTCCAATTATATGCCACTCGTCCCTGTTTCTACGCCGTTTCGGGCCTAACCTTGCGCTACAGCGGTACAGCAGCTTCCACCGGCGCCTTGCGCAGAGTTGCTGGTACCTCGCTACCTCGGTGGCTCCAAGGTTACCTAGACCACCTATGATGGACCCCCGAGGCCCAAGGTTCCCAGCGCCAGTCCCCCAGTGACAAGTGACCGGAGATGCAGGTGCGTGGTAAGGTACCTAGGTAGGTGGTAGGTACCTTAGCCTTAGCCCGTGCTGCTGGCCTCCCGTCCCTGTCTCCCGTCTTGACTGTCTGTCTCCCCGTATGTCCACCACCTGCACCCTGCTGATGCACTTGCACTGGGCTCACCATCGACTTGATTTCTTCTTCTCCTGCTCCTCCTCCTCCCCCATCTGCCCATCCCTCTTCCACCCCGGAAGCAAGCAAGCAAGCAAGCCTCTGCGCATGCGTTGCTTCTTTTGATTGATTGATATTGATTATTTAACCCACCGTCTGTCTTCTGCTGCTGGTAGCATCGTCAGTCTCTGGTCTCTCCCCTCTGCTTGCATCCACGCCGTCATACCTCGTCCTCATCCAGAACAAAGGCGTCCAATCGCCCGCTTAGTCCTCCCGCAGCGTGTGTCGGCTTGTTTCGTTTCTCCTGACTGACACAGCCGTTGCAAAGTTGACCTCGTCGCCTCCCTTACGCATCACTATCCCCGCCATCGGCTTCACTCTTTTCCTCCAATACAATCGACTTGTCAAGCAACAAAGTGGTCGAAATCAGGTTTATCTATCATTCCATAAACACATCATTGTGGTGCTCAATCTGCGATTCATTACCACGCATACGAACCGGCCGGCCTTTGTCTCGAGGATCCCGCATCCCACGCACCTCGTCAATCATCCGCCGCTGTCCTTGGCCGCTTTCAGGTTTGACTTGACTTGATCTTTCATGCGCTGCCGGTAAATCGGCTGCACACAGAAGTGGGCGTTCTTAGTGGCCAGACCGTCTTACCTTGACGTCGGCGGTTCTAGACGATCCATTCCAGAGCACAAGCTCCAAAAGCACCCCCCAAATCGTATCTTACGCGCATTCCAGCTACACCAGAGCGCCGAATTGGGCCTGGTCTAGGAGCCGGCACAGTCCAGCCTGGGATATTTGGAGCTCAACACCAACGCGCGTACACTGAAAGGCGGGCGATCCTGCGTCCCTCTGTCACCGATTCTACACAACATACGGGCTCATGGTCTGAGCAGCTTCACCATGACGGCCCCACGACCCAACTTCCTCGACCTGCGGTCGCAGTCGCAGCTTTCGGTCACAAGACCGTTGAAGTCTCCACGATTACATGTTGCCGGCGAAGTACCGCCGGAGCTCTCGCCACTCGATGCCTTTGCCCTACAGAGCCGTATGCTTGCGAAGCAGCTGCAGGAGAGCGCCAAAGAGGGAAAGAGAATGAGCAGGTTGCCTCCTCTGACGACGGAGAGCCCTCTTGTTGTGCAAGGACGTTCTGACTACTTTCGCTCCATGTCTGCGGACAGCTCATCAGATACTGAATCAACCCTACCACCATTGACCGGGTTGGGCTTGCGAACCGAGGTGGAGGACAACCCTATTCGACCTATGTCTATGCATCCCCGGATGAGTCGTGTTCCACCAACTCCAGATGAGTCCTTCCCGCTTCCGAGTCCCAATCCAGCGGCTTTGGAACGAGCACGCGGGCGACCTCTGAAGAATGCCGATGAAGGCAATGGCTATTTTGGAGCACGACGAGAGCAGTCACCGTCTTCAATGGATGGCTCTACGACACGAAACAGGATAGAGGAAGTGACGCCATTGCCTCCGCAAAACATGGCGCAGCTCTCCCCAGTTACGAGCAACTCAATGTCTCAATCGCCAGAGAAGATCGTGAAGAAGCACTCCTTCGACTCTAGCGGTTTAGCACCACCGCGCTCAATGTTCCCCAAAAGGTCCTCCAGTATCATGTCATCACCTTTGGAGCCTAGCGAATGGGACAGCGCCGGGTCCATGAGCAACTCGTTTCACTCTCAACCACCTCGCAAACTCTCTGGAAGTAGCGGCATGTTTTCACCAGGCCATTTACCTAGGTCCCCATCAATCAGTTCCAATACTTCGGAGCTTCCCAGGCCATCTTTCAACTTTTCGAGACCAATCAGCCGGGTTGGTACACCTGGGCCAGATACCCCTGCTCGGCAAGCATCCTCAGATAGTCAGGCTTCTTTTATCCTGGCCGACGACACAGCGAACACCCCAATCAGCATGCACAGTGAAGGCTTCCCAGAAACTCTACCAGAAGACCCCCGAGCGGCTGCTCCGTCATATATCTACTCTAAATTTTCTCTCCCGCGAGGCAAGATGCTTCAGCGGTCCAGTCCTATGGATCCCGAGGCGCCACCCGCGTCATTTCAGTATGAGATGCCTCCTGTGGCACCACCCAGTAACATTCAAACGATACCATATGGTGGTCAGGCACCCCCGTCACCTCCCACTCGGCCCTCAAGCTCGAGTAGCAGATTTTTGGAAGAGTCTATCCCTAGGCCGTCTTTGGAACGTAGCAAATTAAGCACCGAAATTCTCAATGCTACATCAGAGCTGTCACCCAGCCCTAGCAGACCATCTACAGACGGGGGACGATCCTCAGAAGACATTCAACGGGGTCGCCCACTTACATCTCCACTGCACGAACCGTCTCGTCTCAAGACAGCTGTATCGGCTGTTACCAGCGATTCTGCGAGTACCATCAAGGCCGCCCGATCTCAGTATTCAACTGCGACCACCACAACCATGTCAGATATTCCAGCGGAAGAGCACGTCTCCAAGGCTATTGCCTTGCATGAAGCTGGTAAGCTGAATGAATCGACTTATCATTTGAGATTTGCCGCCAAGCAAGGCCATCCTACAGGCATGCTCCTGTATGCTCTAGCGTGCCGACACGGTTGGGGCATGCGACCGAATCAGAGGGAGGGCGTGGAGTGGTTGAGAAAGGCGGCGGAGTGCGCCAGCGTCGAGATTGCGGAGGACGAGGACCATGTCAAGGAAGGAAAGGCAGTGGACTTCCTTGAGCGCAAGACACGAAAGGCTCAATTTGCGCTGAGCATCTATGAGCTGGGTGTTAGCCACATGAATGGCTGGGGCATAGAGCAGGACAAAGCTCTTGCATTGCGATGCTTTGAAATCGCTGGTAGTACGTTTAGCTCCAGTGCAACTTCCTGTATTTGGTGATTTGACCATGCTAATTAGTTTCTAGACTGGGGTGACGTCGACGCTCTCGCAGAGGCTGGCTTCTGCTATGCACAAGGCATCGGCTGCAAGAAGAACTTGAAGACTAGTGCCAAGTTCTACAGGATGGCCGAGGCCAAGGGGATGAGCATGGTTGGAAACAGCTGGTAAGTCATTAAACCCCCATGCAAGACTTTGAATCCAAGCTCACAATTTGTCAAGGATCCACAAGTCCAAATATAATGATGAAGGCAAAGAGGACAAGAAGAAGCCTCGGTCCAAATCAAGGAGCCGAAATATCTTCGGACGCAAGTCCAGGGCCAACACTGCTGCCAGTTCATAAAGCACACGGAATAAGCATGTTTTCATGATATGATAATGACTATAATCACATATCCCATATCCAGGAGTTCTAAAGGGGGTATTCAATGCCGCATCATCTCTCTAGGACTGCTATTCGGGCTGGCTTCATCTGCTTTGCGCATTGCATCGGCCGATCGAAACCAAGAGAGCGTCGAGCACAGGAGTAATTCCATTTTCATCTTCGGAGGAGGGGAGAGAGCTTCTATCGCCATATGATCTGGGAAGAGAAGTTTCTGAAGCTATTTGGGATTTGTACAAACTTTCTACGGTGTCTATACCTGATATGCTTCTAATGTATATATTCGAATGGTCGTCTGTATTTAACGGACCCAGAGACTTCATAATGATCAATGAGACAGCGAGAGTCCGCAACAAATCATGACATGAAGAATTTGCTGTAAGCAGAGTCACATTGCATTGGTTGTGAGATGTATCGAAGAACCAAAACCCAGAGCCAGTCTTCTATTCATGTCAGACATATTGGTACAAGAGCTACAACAACCCGCTACTTGATGCTTCACTGCTCCCTTCTAACTCCGTTCATCTTACGTGTCCACATCCATCTTCTCGTCATCGCCCTCCACCGCAAGCTCGTGCACGCTCACATACTTGCCAATCTCATCCTTGCGAATCACCTTCTCGTTCAGCACCGCCGTCGTGCCCTTAGGGAAGACGTAGTTGCCGAGCTTCTGTGACCGCTGGTTGGGTCGGACATATCCTCTCCGTAGCGTCGTCTTGTCCTTGGTGATGATGGCGACGTCGACGTTGGAGCCGGAGCCCAGATCGTTGAAGATACCGGCCTGGATGGCCTGGCTGCAGAGCTCGACGGCCTCGTCCTGGGTGAGGCTGGCCTTCCACTGGGTCTCGAAGACGGACATGGCGGCGAGCGAGCCGGAGCCCATGGTGACGTAGGGCAGCTTGTCGGTGCTGCCGTGGGCGTGGACGGTGAAGAGGTGGGTGCCGGTGGGGTCGACGCCGGCGACGACGAGGTACGCGCCGATGTGGCCCTGGTACTGGAACAGGTGCTGCTTGAGCATCGTCATGCAGGTCACGACGCGCGGCTTGCGGCCCGTCGACAGCGAGTGCAGCTCCAGGTTCGACGAGATGATGGCCGTCGTGAACTCCGTGTCCGCCGCCGTGCCCGCGCCCGCGCACCAGATGTTCGGCGCGATGTAGTGCAGCTTCTCGCAGTTCTTGTCGGCCACGATGGGTCCGGATGTCGCTCGCGTGTCGGCGGCAATCTGGAGAGGAGATCATGTCAGCTTGATGGTGGTGCTTGGAAGCAAATCAAACGCCAGGACCTGACGTCTAAGAAGGCGAGGCTGCGGATGCCCAGTCGCTCGAGTCGAATGATGATCCTCAAAGGTGAAGACGAGAGGCTATACTGACCACTACACCGCCATCATATATGCATCCTACGATAGTAGTACCTGTGCTGGTGGCCTTGGGAAGAGGAACACCTCTGGCGTGGAGCGCAGCATTGCGGTTGTAATTTGAGAAATCGAACCCCGGCATCGTGAGAACGGAGAGTGTTGGGTATCTCGGTCGTCAATTAAGAATCGCCAACTCCGCTCGATGAATGTCAGCGGGGATAGACTTGTTGGCGTGGGAGGTTGAGATGGGTTTCGTGGATGGAGGGCGTTTCTCTTGATGGGTTGAGGTACGTTAAGGTAGAGCTGGATTACGAGGCTAGGAGCTGCCTTCAGGTTGTCCTAGCACTGCAAGGCACCAAGAAGCTCAGTCAACGCGAACCTGGAAGCTTATGCAGGGTAATTTATTATGTAAGTTCAAGCTAACTAATTTAGGTAGCATATTCTGCCCATGGCTAGGGAAGCGGCGTCCCCAATGCAGGAAAGTGCAGGATAACCTTACCATTAAAATAAGAGTCAAAGCTCGCTACACGTGATATGGAATCGAGCTTGGTAAAAGCAGCCAGTGACAGGGATCCTTTTTGGTAGGCAGAACTCTGGCCGCCTTCACCTTTTCGCGTCGAACTTGAGCTCCAAGAGGGACACAGCGCAGCATTCAACCCTCACCTTTCCCTGTCTTCCTCGCCAAACAGACATAATCTTGATCTATCTGCTTATGCTTGGGACGAACATTCTTTGAGCCTGGTTTCTTGTCTTCCGTTCTCTTTCCACTTTGCGCAGTTGGAGCTCCTTGTTTTGGTTTGATATCTTGCCCTCCCGCCAACAGGAGCTAAACGCTCTCTGCGGGCAAACACACGACAACCCCGGCCTTCGACCGATGAGAAAAACGAACTTATGAACTTCGGGTCCTCTCTCCAAGGCCGGTTACTTTGCGACAGTCATGGCGTTTAGCTTTGGCAATACCGGAAATACCATGATTGGGGGTGCCGGTGGTGGAGCAGGAGGACTGACGATGGGAGCTGACCTGGAGGTCATCCAGACTGAGGTGCGTTCCACAGATACAGGCGCATTCTTCGTGCATGCGCTTCCTTGAACGTGAACTAACATTAATAGTCTTTGGGATTCCTCTCCTTAGCAGGCGAAGCAAAGATCCAGTTGACGACAGCATGGTCCAGCGCCCCCGCCCCAACGGCATCGCTCATGAGCATTGCCCCACGAAAGGGCCTCGTTGCCGCAGCCGGTCCAGATTCTATATCTCTCGCGACAACGGAATCGGTACGAGACGCGTTGTCAGCTTCTAAGAATGGCGACAGCGAAATACGGCCGTTCGAACCCCAAGTCAAGATCCCTCTACCTATGAGGATTTCGCAACTGGCTTTCACGGCAGACGAACAATTCCTGATTGTCTCCGCCGAGCAAGGTGGCGGTCTTGCCGTATATGACGTTAAATCTCTGTCACAAGGCTCTTCACAGTCTGCTTTCGAGCTGTCTACTAATGGCGAGACTCTTCGAGCACTCATTCCAAATCCTATGGCCGAGAAGGCAGAACTATGCGCGATTGTCACCAACAACGGGAACTTATTAATGGCTAATTTGAAGGATCGATCAATAATTCAGGGAGCTAATGGCCCGGTTCTCAAGGCACAGGTCAGCTGTGCTGCTTGGAGTAGCAAGGGGAAGCAGATTGTTGCAGGAATGGCAGATGGAACCATCGCCCAGATGACCCCTGATGGTACGGACAAAGCATTAATTCCGAAACCGACGAGCTTAGGAGATTATCATGGTACGCAGGCTTCAGTTCAGATTACAAGGACAGCTTCAGCTAACAAATTTCTAGTTGCCTCGGTTAGTTGGTTGGAGAACGACGTGTTTCTTGTCATTTACAATGAGACGAACGGCCAGCCTGGAACTTCGGTATATCATATTGTGCACCGACATGAGCCAAAAGGCCAAGCTGCAAGCTTCGAGTTTCGAAAGCTTACTGACCCAGTGGAGCCGTTTGGCTCTGACAAAGTTCCCCATCACTCTGTGCTACGGATCCGGGATTACCCTCCTAACCTCCTCGATCTTTTGATTGTGTCATCGACCTCAACTGATAGTATCGGCCTTCTGACTCGATCAAAGACACCTCTCGCGGGTGACAAGCCCGCTGAACAGATCACCAATGTCTTTACAACTACCGAGTTCGCAGATGATTCTAAACGTGCACAGCTTCCCATGAGTGAGGAGAATATGAACGAGACCTATCCTATTGGTGTGAGTCTTGATCTTTCAAGCAAGGACAAGGTCTATAAACCTATTCCTAGTGAAGAGGAGATTGAATATTCGCCTGGACCGCTTCCCGCGCTCTGGGCACTCAACAATGATGGCGTTCTGTCGTGTTGGTGGATACTCTATACCGACGCCATCCGTCAAGGCACAACTTATCCTGGGATGGCAGCACTTGAGGGACCTTCTGCTGCCCCAGCTGCGCCTTCCAGCCCTGCTCCTGCAAATCCTTTTGGTGCCCCAGCAACAAGCACTTCTTCCTTTGGCCAGTCCTCTGCTTTCGGTGCCAAACCTTCCCCTTTCTCTGCTGCGGCTTCTTCACCTGCTGCAACAGCCACTAGCTCACCATTTGGGTCAAATCCATTCTCTGGTGCAGCGGCTGCGAGCGGGCCAACGTTTGGAACTCCATCGTTTGGCTCTTCCACCTTCGGCAGCAAGCCAGCTGCTCCCGCTTTCGGCCAGTCTTCAATGGGCTTGGGCATGAGGACCTCTCCGTGGGCTGCAGGTTCTACAGGAACAGCAGCTCCTGCATTTGGCCAGCATGGATTCGGTGGTGCTGCACCTCAAACAGGCAAGGTGTTTGGCAGTTCAACTACAGCTGCAGCTCCGTCATCAGGAAAGGTGTTTGGGAGCTCTACTACATCCACAACCCCGGCTTCGGGCGGGTTTGCTGGGTTTGCTAGTAACAATACCAGCGGTTTCGGGTCTCTGGGTGGCGCCTCGAGCGGGCAAAGCATTTTCAGCAAGCCTGCCGGGGAATCGTCTTCTAGTCAGAGCGTGTTCGGGAAACCTGCTGGTGACAGCTCTGCAACGAGTGTCTTCGGCAAACCAGCCGACACATCAGGGAGTCAAAGCGTCTTTGGCAAGCCATCGACACCAAGCGTGTTTGGATCGGCCGCTCCTGAAGTGTCCATGGATGCAGACACTGCTTTCCCTCCTCCAACATCTAAACCTGCCGGCGCTCCAGTACTTGGGTCCTCGCCGTTCGTCTTGGGAACTACGTTCAAGGCGGACCCTGCCAGCGCGAATGATAATGAGAAACCCACCGGAAAAAGTGGTGGCTCTCTTTTTGGCAGCGGCTTCGGTCTCTCACTTGGAGATGCTGCTAAGTCTTCAGGGACAACAGAGCCTTCTAAAGATGAAGATATGGATGCCACAACTCCTGTGACTGAGCAGCCTAAGCCAAAATCAGTCTTCAGCCTTGAGTCTACGACACCGACTACCACACCAGCTCCTTCTAAATTCTTCAGCACGTCTCCGCCACCTAATACTGGTCTTTTCGGGGCACCGAAACCCAACCCAGGGTCTTTCACGAGTCTTTTCGGGAAGTCTTCTGCAGGAACCGAGACAACCCAGCAGACGAGCATCTTTGCAAGGAGTACACCTGCTAGCAACCCTTTTTCGGTCAATAAGATTAGTCAGGGGACGCCGGAGATCAAGGTGGAGCCTGAGAAAAAGACTCCCGACAATTCTATGGAGGCACCATTACCTCCAGAGTCAACGAGTAAGGCTGCCTACCCTCTTGGAGATTCCTCCTCTTCATCCACTGCCTCCGCTGTCTCCCCAGACACTTTGAAAATTACGCCAAGCAAGGTTGCTGATATTGCCCCCTTACCTCTAGATCTCCAAGGAAAAACTACTACTCTGGCTGCTAACGATGCTCCACTTCCTCCCGATTTCCTTTCGAAGCCGGCCAAGAAAGTGGATGATGCGCCGTTGCCTCCTGATTTTCTACAGGATAAGACAAAATCCAAGGCTGAAGAGGCGCCTCTGCCCCCTGACTTTCTGTCCAAGCCCAAGAAGTCTGCTGCAGAAGAAGCACCATTACCTCCTGACTTCTTGGCGAAGCCAAAGTCCAAGTCTCCTGTCCCTGAAGCAGCTCCTCTACCACCCGACTTCCTCTCGAACTCATCTTCTAAGCAAGTACCTCAAGTTCCCACTGTGCCAAGCAGTCCAGAAGAGGATGACCTTGAGGAGGATGATTTGTCCGAAGATGAAGACGAGGATGAGGATGGCGAGGATGGCGAAGGTGAGGAGGAAGAAGGCTCTGAGCCCGGAACTGAGGGTAGCGGAGTCGATGTCGCTAAAGACTTGAGCCCGACGACGACTGGCGCTGTAGGCTTCACGCCCCAGAGCTCCTTTGGCGGCATGGGTGGCAGCACATTCTCAACTGTCTCTCGACCCGAGCCGGGTCGACTATTTGGTGAAGTTAATCGCAACGCACCAGTCTTCCCACAACCTGTGCCAGTCAGCCCTCGATCGCCTAGCCCCGTTCGAGGTGCTATTCCTCCAAGAGTGCTACGCAGCGAGTCATCTCGTTCGGTTAGTGCCCCAGGAATGGCGTCGCAGATTTTGGGTGCTCGTAAACCAAGTGCTAGTGTGTTTGGTAAATCCATCACGGCACGGGGGCCGCCTGAAGAGGACCATAATGTGATCCTCCAGAGACGAGCACAGGAGAGAAAGGATAAGGAAGAGTCCCAGACTCTTGAAGATGAAGAATATGAACACGTGCAGCAAATTCTTGACTCGGAAATCGAGCCGACTGTCGAAGTTGCAGATTTCACTGCATTCGCCAGCAGTTCTTCGAATACCGAAGCATCAACCGTTGCGTCCCAGGCAGAGGCGTTGTATCGTGACATTAATGGGATGATGCATGTTCTCGGACTCAATTCACGAGCTCTGGCCAGCTTCATCAAGGGCCATACAGAGCTATATAAAGATAGTGGGCGAACAAAGGAAGATTTGGACGACCCTGACAGCTGGGTTCTATGCGAAGCCGATGACCTTGGAGAGATTTTAGACGACGAACTGACGCAAGATTTGCTGGATGGCCAACTGAAAGACTTCGATCAGACTTGGGATGCTTGCCAAGATCTGCTTAAGGAGCTCCCAAGGCTCCGAGCAAAGCAGGAAGATATGAAGAGGGTCATTGGAACTTTACTTGATCCTGACCAGATTGCTGCCACCCGCTCCCTGCCCCTTAGCGCAGAGCAAGCGACGCAGCAGAACGACCTCCGCAGAGCTTATGCTCATATGACCAGACTGCTTGCTGAGGCCGAGGGTGCACTGACTATGCTGAAGACCAAGATTGCCTCTGCAGCTGGAGCAGCTGGTAAGAGCGCCGCCGTGCCTACTGTCGAGGCGATCATGAAGACAATTATGAAGATGACTAGCATGGCGGAGAAGAGAAGTGGAGACATCGACGTCTTGGAGAACCAGATGCGCAAGCTTCGATTCAGCTCGGTTGGTAGTCGCGAGGGATCCCCCTTTAGGACCCCACCCAGACGGTCGATTCAGTCCCCAGATCCACGGAAGTCGCTTACTTCTTCGATAACTTCATACGGTGCTCGTGCGCCAGGTACGCCGCCGCGCAAGAAGCTGAGCGGATTCAGTGAGGAGGAAAAGTCAGTTATCCGCCAGAAGAGAGAAAAGAAACAGGCTGTGCTTGGCCGACTCAAGGCAAGCTTGGAGAAAGCGGGACCCAACGTGTCTCGGCTGACGGATGAGGACTGATTGGGAAGCTTGTATTGAATCCTGTATTGAATAACACTCGGAATGAATGATAGGCTCAGGCTGGAATGAAGGACTGTTGGTGGACATAAGATTAGGCGCCTGAGAAGGCAACAGGTCCGCGCATGCCCCTGTATAGATAGAACCACAACCGCAATGATAACGAAGCATTAGATAGTACGACTTGCGCTCTGCCTCCACTTGCTGAAGTGAAATACTCTTGACAATGGATTTCTGTGTCTCTTCACATCTAAAGTTCAAGCTGAAATGCAGCACTTTGACTGACAAATGAGAGCATGCCCCAAATTTCTGAAGTGCCAACCCATCATGTTGAAACTGAAGTGCTGTGAATATGAGTGTACTTACACATATATTGCAGCACAAGCACCCATCGACTCATGCTTCTCTCCTGGCCACTTGGCTGTCTTGTCCAACAACTTTGCGCTGTTCCTTTCGCCAAATCGCATCAGTCCTGCGTGGGGAACGTAGTTCAAGGTTACTCGAATTCTCTTAGCTACTCATCATTGACGATTATAGACGCTTTTCTCTCTAGGGGTAATTCAATGATTATGTGTCGTGGTAACTCTGGAGAACTTTGGCCTATGCTGAACTTTGGCGAAGCGCATCATTTATACAAGAAGCGTCACCACCAACACACCACTTGTGATTGATATCTATTCCACGCCAGGCCAAGGAACAACCTCAAACAAGTTCAAGAAGTCATGTGTTAATCGTATCAATATTAGACCATCGAGGTTAACGGTGCTGGACAACAAGGATCACGGTATTTTCGAGGCAACAAAGTTCTGTTTATTATTCTCGAATATTCTGTTTTATTACTATAGCCCTACCAACTTCAAAGGTCGTAATTGCCTAGTCGATGTGGTAATGATGTTCTCGACGAACTGACGTTCATTACCCTGGCGGAGGGCCAAGTCATTGCTCGCTCGCCTTTGACCATATCCTATTCTAGCGCTTCATAACTACTCTTGAAGCTGACCACGCACAGCCATCTTGCTCGATTCTTCCAAGGTGAGACCGTCCTCACAAGGAGGATACAAAGCTCGGAAACAATCCTTCAAGATGTAAACTCGCACAAGAGAAGACTGGCACTATTAGTTTTTTGGGGGTGAAAAGCCCAGATAACCTATATACGATGCGGTCTCCAATCCATCGAAATGTTCGACGAAGTCAATTTGTATGTCCAGCCTCACTCGTTTGTGTCTAAGCCTTGAGCCTAGGCGTTCTTGCAATATCATCCTGGGCGTCTTTGATCAAGAAGCTACGAATGATATTAGCACAAGCCCGTCCTGCACCACAGAGGGGCTAGATACTCACTTATACCACAGGTATGTAGGCAAGATAGTCCCCAGATGCCAGAGACTATGGGCATCAATAGCACCCCACAGCGGCGGGAAGTCGAACAGCTCGAGGCTCATGGCCATCATGACCCAGGCAACGGTGAAGCCTGGGATCATGGCCCAGGCGCTCTTGGTCTCGCGGTACTTGTTGAAGCTGAACCAGGACCACATTATGTTCTGCACTATGCCGCAAGCCACATTGGCCGCCATGTTGTAGCCGTAGTCCCAGCGCCACAGCTTCAGGTACGCGACGTGAGCCGAGTACATAGCCAGGCACAATACCGTCCAGGCACGCAAGACTGATTGAATCTTGGGCTCGGGGCGGTCGAGCCGCCACAGCCGCACCGTCGTGTAATACATGCCGTAGAGAACGTTGGCGCCCGCAGCGAAGTAGTCGAGCTGCTCGGTGAGGAGAAAGTCGCGGCTGTGGAAGATGGCAGAGAAGATCCAGCTCGCGGCGCCGACGTAGGCGAGCATCTCGTAGAAAGGCCGCAACGTATACGATGGGGGAATGCCGGCGCGGATCTTTGACAGGCCGCTGAGGTGCGCCGCCAGGTTGCCCAGCGAGAAGGCAACTGACAACGGTTCCTGCATGCCTAGTAGCCGGTGGAAGGGCCACTTGCCGTGAAACTGCACCACGCCCTCTTCAGCGGCAACGCGCCGCCGTGTCACGATGTGCTGGCATGTATAGTCGCATTCGGCCGGGCAGTCCCAGAGAAGTAGACGATGAACAAGGGCTATTTCACAAAGAATCAGACCGTCAGCAGTGTCAAGCGGAAGAAGCGATCGAGCAGAGAAGATCGAATTATGGCTAAAGCGTCGGGTTTGATGTTTGGTCGTGGTGGTAACTCACGGATTGGCGTCTGCGGTTTTCCTGGAGCACAATTCTCACTCCTGCATACCTGAGGGCAATCTAGTTAGCTTCAATCCGCGTAGTTTGTCTGCTAGCATGGTGGTGTCTGTGTAACTGTCAGAATGTGCGCGACACATACCTCGACACACTCGCGGAAGTCCGTGAGGCGGTCGCCAACAGAAGCCTCGGCCCTGCCGCCAAAGAGCAGCAGGGCAAGCAAGGATAGGACGAGAAACAGTGTAGGGCGCCATCTCCTCGCCGCAGTAGGCGTTAGCATCGTGACAGCATCTACAGAGGCATATGTAGATGTGAAGAGAAGAGGGATGTGAGAAGCGTGAAAAAAGTCAGAAGGGGAAAGGGGAGGAGAAGGAGATGGGACTGCTGCGCAGATACGAGAGGGAAAATGTAGTTTAACTTTAGTTGGAGTAGGCCTGCAGCCTGACCTCATACCAACCATTGAGCTGGCCTTGCGACTCAAGCCTAATTGGTCTACGAAATCTGGGGACGTCTGGCGGGATCCATTTGCGAGCGGAAGCTTGTTCCAATAGCGAAATTGCGCCTACAAACTAACTGAGACTTGTCAAGGACAATCCCTGGGTCATCTAGACCCCGTTGGGAGACGCGACTGTCACGCGAGGACCCTGCATTGGTGTAGACATAGGAATTTCATCGTGGTCGCATACATGGACAGAATAGGGTAAGGGCAACAGATGCGTTGATTTATATTCATTCCCTATTGAGTTGTGGAAGAGCCTAGGCATCTTCCCTGTAGAATGTTGTCTGTAGTATGGTTTGTAATGTACTTCGTAACTCGTTATATAGACTTTTGTCTGGGATACCAACTCCGATCTATCCTGGTGTCAAGCAAGATTTGTCTTCGGTTGTCGAAGAGAGATTTCAGATCCAGATATCGTCAATTTTAAAACAGAAAATTCCAAACAAAACAGTCGTCGTCCTTTCATCATGAGCTTCGTGAGATTTTTTTTCATCAAAGAGCCAGCCGTAAACTCGGAAACCTCATTTCCAGGCATGCAACCAACACCTCCAAGGTTTAGGTCTTCAAACAACTCGTCCCCAAAGAAGAGCCACAAAGGAAAAAGAAATTGCGACTGCTCATCGCCGTTGGATCGAGTTACATGTCATACCCTACAGTACGGCCGTGTCACGATCCAAATGGTAGGTGGTAGTCTCCGAGCTGTCTATGTGCCGATAATCGCGGGTATGATTCGCATCAAATCATGGCAGTCGTAAAAACATGATAAAACATAGATTATACACAGGACGAGAAAAGGAATATGTCGAAAAGAAGATGGGATGAATGATTTGAGCCGAACGCGATCACAAGGGTGATTCAGATCGACGTTGCCCACGTCCATTGAACTCCTTCAGCCGGCGATCAATGTAGGCAAGACGAGAAGCCAGGTTGACACGCGCTGGAACAGCAGTCGGTTCACTTGGTTGCTGGACAGTCGCAAATGGCCGCCCAAGCATCATCTCAAAGTTTCCAGGCTGAGTGAAGCGGTTAGGAACGCTGTGACTAGCTATATGTCCTGAAAACGGAGAACCCAGACGAGGTGGCGGCAACAGAGGAGGCGCAAGTTGCTGAGCGGTGACTTGAGGCAAACTTCTCGAGGATATCAAGGATGGCTCTGTAGCTGTACGGGGAATGAATAGATCGTCTTGACGAGCAGAGCTCGTGGAACTGTACTCCGTCTCCTGTGCTCGGTTCATGTTGTTCAGAGATGCGGCAAATGTTGGATCCAGGAAGAAGTCAGCCGAAAGACTTGGCCGCTTTCGAGGCTCTTGCGACTGTCTAGTACGTCGCTTCTGGGTACCAGAGCGGCTTAATCGTACTGGAGAGCGCAAAGTCCGACGGGGTCCAATAGTATGATTCTGTCGCTCCACCCTAGAGTTGGGTGACCCTAGGACAGACATGAAAGAGGTGGATGAGCTGGGGCCATAGCTCTTAGCACTGAAGGGCGAGCCAAACCGGCGACGCTCCTCAATAGACGGTGGCGCATCCGTTTCTGAATGCGGAACATGGTTGATGTCTCTCAGAGGCTCTCGTGCTGGAACCTCGAGAGCTGAGCTGGTGAGTTGAGCTAGCGGTGCCTGGGGATTCATGGTGTCGGAGGTGCTCAAAGTCAAGGACATTGCCATATCCTGAGTCTGGAAAGATGATGAGGGCTGAGAAGGTGTAACTCGCCGGTTCAATTGGCGAATGGTGGTTTGAGCAAAAGGTGTCGGGCTACGCGACATGTAGCGGAATTTGCCTCCCATCGGCCCAGCTGCCTTTAACTTGCACATCTCACGCAGGTGAGCCCGTGTTGCGCCGCCACTATGCGGCCACTCGATGAAAGCTCCCGACGCATCTAATGTGGGTGTAGTGCTTCCGCTCTTGCGGCCCATGGGGACGTTGGCTTTTGTCATTGCCCTTGACCCCTTCCAGCTGCGCTTTGCCTCGCGAGCTACTCTCTCAATGACACCCTCAGGAGGAACACCACTGCGACTCGTCCGCATTGGCGTCACATTAGGGTCTTCCAGATAGAGCATGTACGTGGACCACAGATGAGTATCCATCGCCTTCGTCCATGGTGCCTTTCTTCGAGCTGTCTTTGCAGCTGAGCTACCTGAAGGTGCCAGAACGTCCGAGATGCAAATGAACTTGTCTGTGCTCTCGAATTCGGGGCTCAGATGGATGTCATCAGAGAAGCATGAAGATAGCCGACTGAACGACGATGTGCTGGTCCGATTCGAGCGAGAGGTCGACGGCCTGCTCGACTCGGGCTCTGGACTTGACTCCCAGCTACTCAGAGCGGAGTCTATTGACCAGTTGGGATATCTAGATGGTGAGAGCGACGGCGCCGAGCCAGGCGCTGGTGTCTTCGGTGGAGAGAAGGTACGGCCTCGAATCTGAAGCGACGCCGCATCCTCAATCTCTGTAAATTGCTCCATGCCAGGGAAAGCCTGAGCCATGTCGGGATCAAAAGGCGCAATTTCGGGTTCCTCGATGCTTGGTATGGGGATATCAGCAGCCGCGACTGAAGCTAAGAATTGCTGGGTTGGTGCGGACAAGTGCTGTGAAACATTTCGTCTCTTTAATCTCAATCGCGGTCGGGGGGGAGAAGGGAGTCGCGTCTCCTCTTCAGTAAACGGCTCTGGTGTTTTGGGGACATCGTACTCAGCGGAGCGATGCCCCTCGGAGGGGGTTATTGCGCGCATCTTGTCTCAAGTCGCGCTGGAATGCCAGCGCGCCAAGCAAGCCTTGAAGATGTGGAGGACGGTCAGCCGCAGCGATATCAGCGCTATACAAGCAATGGTCCGAATAGACCAGATCCTTGGTAGGAAGTTCTTCTTTACGAGCGATCGCGCCACGATTAATCAGTAGGCGCCTTGATTGAAGCGACGAGCCTGTAATCCGTCGCCACGATCACTATTTTCAGTTGATCAAAAGAGCTTATTTTCGCCTTCTCCAGTGTCTGCATATATTGAATGGGCGTGTAGTCCTGAGTTCCCGCGCAGAAGCAGATGACCAAGAATTCGGATGGCTGGGTCGCGTCTAAGTGTGGTGAGACGGATCTGATCAAGCTGGCCGCAGATTCGCGTGTCGGGCGAATCCCAAATGGGTGATTAAGACAATCGGATTAAAAAAGATAGGTCAAAGAGAAATAGTCGTATAGCTGGTGTGTCCGAGGTGAGAGAAACAGGTAAGGAAAAGGTCCGGTTCGTCGTGTCAGGAATGTGAAGTGGAGGAGGAGAGTCGTGGTGTGGTGGTGGTGGTGGTGGTGGTGGTGTATGATGCGAGGGTACTGTGCCGTAGTGTGGTGCAAATTGGACCCGGTCGACTCTGGGGAGCTAAATTGACAATGCGAACCCCGCCGAGAGCGCCTAAAGGGTCTATCGAGAGGTTTGGGGGGGAAAAGGATAAATGAACGACTGGTTGAAGAAAAGGGTGAGAACAAGAGGGAGGATGCACAATTGTGTGGAGGAGGCGGGAAGAGTGAATATGTATCCCCGTCCGTCTGCCTGTGTGTGCTCGCTTTTGCTGCTGCTGGAGAGGAAGTGGGTTATTATGCAGGAGACGGCCAGGTGGGTGATGGGTGATGGGTGATGGGTGAGAGGGTGTGGGAGTGAGGGCCTGGCTGGCGCGAAGAGCGGGTTTTGGGGCTAACAGACACCTAGACTAGAGGCAGAGAGCAGCAGAAAAGACCTGCTGTATGTCGCTAGTCCTACTGTGGAGGGACCCTATTACCACCCCTGTTCTACGTGAGGTAGCAGCCAACTGCGGAAACCCCCCACTGTAATAAATGCTGGCGCAGAGAGCAGCCGGTCGTCGACGAGGGGCCCTGCAGCGTGTGGCTTCTGGACCCAGAGCAGTTGCGCACAAGACAGTGGAGCCTCGGCGCAGGGGACCCTGATGAGCGGCGGCGGCGGATTGACGGGGTGCAAACTGTTGAACTCGCGGGATCGGCTCACAGGCACATCAGATCATTGGAGAATGGCAGCCGGAGCTGGGGCTGCAGCCACTGGAGTCGGCGTGGTGGAATTGGGAAAAGAGCGCTCTTGGGAGTCTATGCAGGCGCAGTAGTGTCTGTGGCCCAGCGATGCGTCGCGGGATCCGTTTTGCTGTCTGCAAGCCTCACAGCACTCCCCGTAGAGGTGCAGAGAACGCGGCCACTTAGCAGACTCGACAGACTGCAGGCTGCAGCGATCTGCGATGGGGAGAGACACGCGTCTGTGAAGCGCGACGGGTAGAACCACTGCTGCTCCAGTCGGGGCAGTTCTGGATGGGGCGACTGGATGGATCCTAGACGGAAGACCGTTGAGCTTCGGCAAGACTGGGAAGCGATTCCGTGATGGGCTCGCTTCGATGCCTCTTGCCAATCGTCGTCTTTGCCAGCTCTGCCAGGTCTGCAGTCCGATGCAGCTTGCAGACAACCCGACGATTTAGACTGATGAGGCCACGGGAAGACCGCAGAGGCTAAGCGATACAGAGCAGAGCACTCCTTTGTCGTCGGGATACGATGAGACTGAACACTTCACTTCGCACCCGGGGCAAGCGGAGTCGAACGGTCGAATCGAACAACAATACGAGCAGCGTAGCGCAAGAGTGACCAGACCAGGGTAAGACGTGCGGTGAGACAGCGTCTCGCAAATCGGCTTCTTCCTTCTCTTAGTTCGGGGGATCACTTGAACGTGTGTTCTCGTCCTAAGCTTTCGAGACCGTGCGTTAAAGAATCACTCGCTGCCGTCGTCTTGTTGCGGGACTTGAACGCAGTTCTACGGGGTTGAAATAAATCGGGAGGCTGGTAAAGCCCTTCCCACCACGGTCTCTATGTGCGAACAGACGATGCTACCCTTGGGGGGGAAGTGGCGGTAAGCGGTAAAAATGAAAGTAGCCGGATCTGTACTGGGATGAATTGAAGCTGCAGCACTTGGTCCTGGATAGTATCCCTCAATGCGCAGCAAAGTGGAGTTTGATATGCTGGAGTTCGTTGTCTGGATGGAATAGAAGAGAGCGGGTTTTCCAGTCAATTGAGTTGTCTCACTCTGATGGTGTAAGTGTAGAAAAGCGTCTGGAAGCGACGAACAGGTCTGACCGTCTGGCTATCACTTTCAAAAGCCGGTCAAGTGAGGGAACACGAACAGAGAGGCTGTCTGGTTCGCGCAAGATGTACGTCCAAGTCAGGCAGGGTTTTCACGCCTCGAAGTAGACGCGACGCGCCAGTTTCGCGTCTACGCGACGCGCCTAGTCTTTAAGTGCTTTTCTGTGTGGCCCCTCCACGGATAAACCTTGTGGTGGTACCTGGGGTACCTTATCTCTCGCGTCTCCCCACACAACTTTGACGCATGTGCGATGAACAGCATGTAGATGACATGTACCCTGCGTAAGACTTCCTCGCTTGCCAGGTTCACTTCCAGGATCACGATAACAGGCATCTTACTGTACATCAACCCCCTTAAACCTACGTGGTTATCATATATACCCTGACCTTCTCATCTCTCAAATTTTAGTCGAGGGGTGTGACTAACCGGGGCCCAAGGTCCAACGGCGTGAACACTTCGCGTCCCACAACTTATCTTATTGGTCTCGATCTCTTCACTTCCTACAAGGGAGTGCCAACTCCTCTGGAGTCTGTCAGCTATCGGACGGGGGCTGCTTCGCAAGTGCAATGCAGTCCGTCCTACGACCGGCGGAAAGGAGAGACTAGACAATGTGATATCAGAAACGACGTGGGATATATCGAGATGCTCCCAGCCTACATATGTCAGATGATACGGCAGAGTTGCAGTATAGGCGTCTGGCTGCTACATAGTAGAATACATACTGTGATCATCTGCTGGATGTCGAAGTGTTTCATTGTGACAGTTTGGGATTGCCCTGTCATCTTCACCGTTGCATCCAGACACCCCACAGTCCATTGAGAGACGTCTTAGACATTTGTGCCAATCACTCTTGTCACCCTTGCCCAGATGCTGCCACATTGCAACCGTGATGAAAGGACAGACAGCCGAATTAGTCTTCATGCATTCTGATAGATCGTCGGGGCGAAATAACAGCCTGTCTATATCTTCATGAATATTGCGGGGGCGAACCTGGGTCTTGAATGGGCTAGATTGTCTTCTCGCATCACCATCAGGAGCTTTCATTGCGCGAATTGATGATCATGACTTCAGTCAAGCCCAGGATTCTCGCAAGGTCCAATCCTGAATCTCGATGCTTTTTTATTGTACGCCAAAATTCGAGTGTGGCACATCCTAGAGAGACATCGCGATCGAGAATCCGGCTGTTTCCACGTAGATTTACATCATCGCTCTGGGGCTTTCTGATCCATCCAATACCATTGTGCTGACAGGCTTATTCCCATGAAAAGGTGCGGGAGATCGCTCTCCTTGGTGTCGATCTATGGGCTGGGACCGCTTGGTTGGCAATTAGCAGTGGTGACAAGTCCAAGGCTGAGAGGACAAAACGAAATTGTTTATATAAGTCCTGAAACCGAAGCTCTGGGCCCGCGAACAGGCGCGTCATGCAAGGAGGATCGTGCTAAATTTGTAGCATCGCGGGACAAGAACAGGGACAAACACGGCTCCGTAAATCAGGATATTAAGTTAAGACTCAAGGTCTATCCTTGAAATAGACGATTCGAAGCATCATCTGGTTCTATACCACGCTAGAACGGCTTTGACCGCCTAGAGAGCTCGAAATCTAGACTCGCAATCGAAATCGGGAGTTGCAGCGTGTAAACCTCTATCAGGATAGCTACCGAGAGAAATTACCCAGACAGATGACTACTGACACTAGTTGAAATTTATTATTCAAACAAGAACCCTTGTGCTCTATGTATTTCAGCACGGATTTACTGAAGGGGCACACCCGAACTAGGTGGATAGCGTGGTTGTCGTGGTTTGCTATTGCTTTCTTGCCTTGCCTGCTCACATCAGAGTATTTTAATCAGTGTAGCAATTCAGCCGATTCACTGAATACCTCAGAATGCCCGAGCGCCAATAGCTATTTAGCCTAGGCAATGCTACCTAGGTATTCCTTCCACGTCATCCCGGCGTACCTTAAATCAGCCCGATTTATCAATCCTTTAAACTTTTGTCAACCTCGGATTACATCTGCTCAACTCAAAATGCCCATTCTGAATAGCGACGACTTGAGTGTAGGTGCAATTCCTCTAGAAGCAAGGTAAGAGTCGATGTCTTTATTAGCTGAAAGTCAAAAAGCCAACTATTTGGTGGGTACTTCACCTGTTTCGGCATCGATCCGCTCGTGTTCAGTGTCCCTTTTCTTAGCTCCCTTGATTGGAACGCAGGGCTGGCCACTGTCTTATCAGCGTGCGCGAAAAGCTTCAGCTCACCACCAGCACCGTATACGTTTGGCCACCTTTTCTAGACTTCTCGTCGGTCTCATCCCAAATGGACTGCTCTTCTTGAGATTGTCCTCTTCTCTTCACTTCAATAGCACCTTTTCCTAGTCATTTTATCGCTGCAAGAGCACACAGCCGCAATGCTGGACTCGGCTAGACTTTTTGGCGTCCTAAAGTTTGGACTGCCGCTGATTCTCATCATTTGGTCGCTCGCCTATCTGACGACGTCGCGTGATACCTATGTTGAGATATTCCGCAAGTTCAAGAACGAGAAGAAGCTCTTCGTCTCCGATTACCTTGAGCACGAGATTGATGGCGACTTTGATGGCACCAAGATCCGAGAGCTCTGCGCCTCTAAGCCATGGGCAGACAAGGACAGACAGCTGATCCTCACTTGCCATCCTCCGGAAGGAGGCATCGGCGCCGTCAAGAATCAGCACCTCCACTGTATTCGCCTTGCAATTGAGATAGGAGGTTTGTTATTCCTTCCGAGCCTGAAAGTGTAATCCTACTGACGCTGGCTGTAGCGGATGTGGTCTTTCCCGATATCGTTCGCCGCTCCGATACCGACATCACGAAATTGAACCCTCATCCCATTGGTCCCCCGAAAGGGATACCCATGGATTATTTCTTCGATTTCAACCATCTCAATCAGAGTCTGGCCGCGTTTTGCCCCCAGATGAAGGTTTACCGGTCCCTCAACGACTTATATGATGTACCAAGCGTACTTCAGGCCGAAACCGTCGCACTCCACGAGTTGACCGAGAACTTTGTGAATGGAACGATCATTGAATACCCCGACAGGATACGAAGGCAATTCTACGAGCATCTAGAGGAGTTGAAGCCCGCCAAGAATCGTATATATCCTATGCGTGTCCATCTCGCAAAGACCGCCTTTGCGTGGCCCACTGCCTATGATGACCCAGGTTTCACCAAGAACTTTGGACGCATTCTTCGCATACGGGAAGACATCCGGCTACTTGCCGCCTCGGGGCTGTATAATATGCAGAAGCGCTTCAACTTGAACCTAGACCCGCGGAATGGCATCAAGCGGGACAGCTTTATCGGAGTTCACCTGCGCACAGAGAAGGATGTTGCGGGAGAGTTTCCTCCGTATGAGACGCAAGCCGCATACTACCTCAACTATCTCGCACAGAATCATATCCCCGTGGTCTACCTGGCCACCGGCGCTACCGAGGAGAACGTCACAGCGTTCGCTGAGCGGGCCCAGGAGTTTGGAGCGACAAGCGTTCTGAAACGGGATATCCTGGACGCTCCTGAGCTGGCATTGCTAGATACTTTCAGCTGGGATCAGCGTGCCCTCATCGACTACGAGATCATGCTCCGAGCAGGGCTAATTACTGGCACCTCCGAGTCAGTCTTCGCCTGGAACCTTGCCATGAGGAGGAAGAACGCGTATGGCTCGTCCGGTGAGTCGAAGCCGCTGAATCCGGAATTGAGCATCCAGTGGCAAGATCAATATTCTACCATTTTTGGAGATGCAGAAAAGAGCCCAGTATACAAGGCAACAATTTGGCCCTAGCGGGTACCACTCTGTGCTTTCGTGTAAGTAGCTTCTTGTGATTATTTTGGATATATGCAAGGCGTCTGGGGAGAAATAGTATCATATGATCATCAAAAGGATTGGAGTAGATTCATAACGGCAATAAAGGAAGGGCATTATCTTGAGGTTTTCGTTATCTGATTCACCAGATATTTAAATCACGAATACCAAATGGGAAATTTTGATCAAGCACATCACTACACGGTGCATAAATCAGCTGTCCAAATTTGGAGAAAGGAAGAGCTCTTTTCTTTTCTCAGTCTTGTTCTGTGGTATAATTTCACAATATCCAAGTCCACCAACTCCAAACTCTAGGAAAAGACAAATGATACACCCCCTCCGGCCGCTTTCACACAGGCACAGAGAGCCACGTCATAACCGGACCGGATAATAACTCGACGGCTCCAGCCATTTGCAAGTCAGAAAGCCCACGACAAACCCGCCCACCGCGATGCTAAATGCCGCCGTGGCCGTCAGCGACTGGCTGATCTCTCGGTCAATCCAGCGCTGCCGTAGGCGGAACGAGCCGATGCGCATGTAGAACATCTCGGCACGCTCGACCACGCCGTGGAAGTCTGGCTTCAGCTCCGTGGACGTGCGCTTCGTGGTCTTCTTCTCGACACTGTTTCCGTTTATTGGCTGTAAGCCGCCAGCCATGGTCAGCCACTTGCTCCTCAGGGCGTCCGAGGATTGGGATGAGAAAACTCACAGCAGAGTCAAGGAGACATCTCCCTGCAGCCTGGCCTTGAGCTCGACCTCAACATCAAGGTTCAGCCCGAGCTGCAGCCTAACAGGCTTGGTATCAGCCAGGCGTGGCAGGAGGGCCGGCTGCTGCAGGCCCCCGTTCTTCGCCAAAGCCTTATTGTTGCGCCTGCGGCGGCGGCCACGCGAGTCGATGCTCGAACCCATGGAGGACGCAGAGTCATCGAGCTGCCGGCGCAGGTCAGCGAGAATGTCGTCTTTGGAGGACGGGGAACCCACGCCGGCGCCGCCTGCTCCGACGGGACGCGGTCCAGAGGGGAGGGCGGTTGTCACCTTTGGCATGACAGGGTTGGATGCCATGATGTCTTCTCGTTTCTCGAGGTCGAGATGGGGATACGAGTGCTGGTCGAAAGTGAGGTATGTCACGCTCTGGTAGACAGTGTGACTGCTCTGGGAGACGTAGACGGGCGGCTTCCGCTTGCGGAGGGAGCTGGCGAGACGGAAGGGCTTGGCCTTTGGGAGGAGTGGGCTGGAGAGAAGAGTCTTTTCTTGACCAACCGGGGCCGGATAGTAAGGCGGTGGCTCGAAAGCGGGCGGAGAGTAGGCGAGGTTGTTGACGGCAAGGTAGCGCGGAGCGGCGGCTACTGCTTGTTGTTGTCGGAGTTGTGCAACAAAGTCAAGGCTCTTTTCAGTATCGAGATCCGGTCCGGTGTATGCAGGAAGATCACGCGAGGATTGTGAATAGTCTACAAAGCTTTCCCTAGACCGGCTGTTGGGAAAGCTGGGGAAACAACAGAAGAAACTTGGAGCGTCTTGCTGATCCACGCCGGCTCTGCCTGCGAAGTCGAAGTAAAGAAGAGGAGAAGTAAACTTGGACCGGCCAGAACAAGACTGAGAAAGATGGAAAGAGAAAGAGCTGATGAAGAGCCTGCTGCTTGAAGACAAAGGAGACGAGACCAGAGACGGCGACGGACACGATCATATATAGACATTTTCAAGCCACCTCAACTTACATGAATTATCTCCTAGACATGAGGCGTACGGGCACTTTCCCCACTACAAGTCGTCAAGGGGGCCGTGCACCAGCCTTATAAGCACCATACGATTTTTGAAGCTTTTTGAAACTCTTTGCTCCTTGAAGCCTTGCCGGGCGAATGAAAACAATGCTCGTCCCAATTACCACCGCCCCCATCTGGCCATTTATCCCGGCATCAACCTAGAAATCATCCATCATGCGAGAAGGGTCTTTGACGGGTGCTGAGAATGATTCTGTTGCACAGGGCTCTGTGGCGCCTTATCAGTCAGCCAGTTAAGACGATCACCGACTCAGAAGTCTCGACCTTCGAACGATGTTGCTCGAGACTCGTGCCATGTTGTTAAGTCTGGGGTCAAGGACCCACTGGGTAGAGGCCATGTCGTTGCTCACTTCCGGCACAGGAAAGCTTGGCTCGGATGGTGCTCAAACACTGGCATATCCGTTGTGCCATTCTCCATGTTGCACACCTAGCACGGTCATTGAAAGTCTGAGAACGGAGCAAGCAAGCCAATCAGTGGTATTTTGATATCCGGATCTCATGTGCCCCCATGCGAGAAAGCCTCCCGTCTATCTGTTTGCGCCAAGCGACGTCAACTGCCCTTCACACTATACCGCTTTCTCCGAGGCAAGTTGAAGCCTATTGCGCCTGTCGAAAAAGACAAAGTTGATCCTTTCAGTTGTGTTCTTCTCTAATTCATATTCTTGCCATCACCGGCCCAATTCGTTCAGAACGAGGTTCCCGCCACAAATCAACCTTTCCATAAGCAATATTCGCATGGCAATTGGTTTGAGGAGGTTACCCGATACCTCCTCACATTATCTTTGCAACAATCCAGACCTTTGAGTGCGATTAAAATAAAATCTCCCGCGGTACGTTATAACAGTAAGTGAAGACCACGACGCGTCGTGTTCTCATATTGTCAGTGATGACATTTTCGTTTCGTTTCTTATTTCATGTGCTCAGGAGATCCCGCACGCTCATGCCCCGACCAGCTGAAGATCCGTTTGTCCCCCTTCTATCGCTGTTCAGCATCAGAAGGGCTGCGGTGGCCTCCTGGTCCAGATCTCGTTCAGGTGCTAGGGCGGGACTTGTCAGGATCGAATTTGATGCCGAATTACTCGCCGGATAGCCATATGCCTGTGGACCGAAGTTTGGAGACGTGGTTGCTGACGCACTATAGCTATAATGCCTGTGGTCCGTTGAGGTGGATGAATACGATTCGCGACGATGCCTGGAGTCTTCAGCGAGCAGGGCCGGCGAGACAGATGGCTGCTGTGACCGAGCTGGATTGGCCGTGAAGGTCGGCGATGGTGCCTCAGATCCGGTCATCTCAACATCAGGAGAGAGTTGTTCCTGGGGAGCAGTAAAGTGGAACTCTTGATTAAACTCGCGGCCAGAAGGTGTCGGCATGCCACTCAACTCAGTCGGAGTGGTTGGCAGTTCACTTTCCCGTTGTGCCTTCAGCTTGGCTACGCAGTCCTCAAGATATCTCACGTATTCAATGGAAGCCTGTGCGGGTTAGTTATCTCTACCTCTATGAGTTCCATGGCATTACTCACCTGAAGAATCGCCAGCTTATGCATCTCCCCGGTACATGCTGGAATCATACCCTTCAACACCGCGAATTCCTCGTTCATCTTTGACCTCCGTCGTCGTTCGATAAGACTATGGGCTGTTTTCCTTGCAATCTTGCGACCGGCCGCGCTTGTTGCGGATGGTTGCTTCTTCTTCCCCGTTGATGTGTTGGCTGGGGCTGGGGCCACTGCAGTCTTAGTGCTCGTGGTACTCCGGCCGCTCGCGGTGGTTTCGGCTGGGACGGCCTCTTGAGGGCGAGGCTTCATCTGAATGATCTTTCGTGATCTCGTGGGCGGAGGCGGTAGTGCAAATGTGTCTTTGCCTTGGCCCTGCGCCGCCGAGGACCGCCTCCTTGACTTTACAGTCTCGCTAGCCTGCATTGGATATGGTGCCTTCGGAGACGTCTGAGAATATGGTGAGGTCTCTCCGGCGGCCGAGGATGCTCTTGTCTCGGAGGTGTTAGGGCGGGAGTCGTTGGGTGTTATCGCGGGAGGCGGCAACTCGAATGCCATCTGTAGAGCTGCTAATTGCTTGCTACCATCTTTACCTGGGATGTCCGTCGACGATGCAGGTGTCGGTGGTAAGGCCGTGCGAGGCATGATGGGGCCGCGATGTCGATCGACTCGACCGAGACGGCTTGACGTACACTGGTGGCTGAATCGTGGCCTTGCCGTCAAGTAAACTCCTATATAAGCAGATAGGGGACACTTCAATCACTCGAATGATTCGGTGGCGCTTCTCACTCTGACTGTTGTTGAGACAAGACAGTATGTAGAGACGGGACGCTCTGGGGTATCACGAGGGCCAGTAATGACGAATATAGGGGAAAGCCGTTGCATTACAGAAAGGCACGAGACATCAAAGACGGTGGGAATCCACCGAGTTAGGGAAAGGATGAAAAGACGAGATGGCCGAGCTAAAGGCCGTCTAATTGGGAGAAGGAGAGAGGGCTCGTGGTCGCCCAAGACATGTTGGCCAGTATTGACAGAGAGAGGAGGGAGGCGTGTGCCGTCCACCTTAGCTTCTCAGGAGGAGGGCCTGGGAGGAGATAGAGGAGAACAGCCAACCCACCTTGAATAACAAGCCTTGACTTAGCAGCCGGACAAGTCGAGCCTATCGCTTCTCACGTTCTGCTGAGGCAGGCTCCTCGAGCACGTTCTTGACAAGGAAAGGAGAGCGTCGTTCCAGCCCGTTTCGTGGGTTTGACGACCGCTTTCCTGGCTGGGACCCTGATATGTCTCACGCGAGCACCAGCCAATTAGAGCCGCCTGCTGAGACACGTTGCTGAAGCAGGCCGATCGTTAGGGAGTAGCAGCTTGGCTCGTGCTCCCTCCCCCGGAGCAATGGGGCGACGGTGCATTTTAGAGATTTGTGGGACCGCCTGTGCCAGTGGCTCCAGCCAGTAATACACCCAAGAAACCAAACCCCCACTACCTAGGTACCTAGGTAGCTAGTTCTGACCAGGAGCTGCCTCAGTTAGCTTGACCGGCAGCTTTGCGCTGCCGTTTCTGCTGATCTTGCTCACATGTCCAGCGCAACGACAATCGACAAGTGAGAGGCTGTCATCGAGCATCGTGGGCCTAAAGAAGACACCGTCAGTTTCTCCGCAAAGGACCCTTACTATCGCGACGACTGGCTCTCATCAGGTATGAGGTTGCCGTCGTTGTTGATACCTTCGCTTATTAACCCGAGAAACGTCCTGAAACCATCGTGATAGCCCACCACTGCTCGTGTGCTCTCAACGACCGCCACTGCTCGTGTGCTCTCAACGACCGCCACCGACCAGTCTTTTGCCCACATGTACCTTTTGGGAGCTGTGGTCGCGCTGCTCTATCAAGCGCAACCAAATAAGCTTCTCGCCCAGGGCTTCTCACCTACATACCAAGATGTATCTCGCCTACCTGCCTAGATCGACCAGCATTGTAACCAGTGCAAGCATGGACAATGGACGCCTTTTGGAACCATAATAATTCTCTGTAGTTCTTGCAATCGTTTCATCTCAGGCATCCGTGCAAGACGCGGCCGGCTTGGATCCCACCTCTTGGTACTAATCGGGATCTGAAGAACCATCACGTGTGCACGTGGCGCGAGCAGCCGTTATTGGAGATCAAAAAGTAAATTTTCGTAATACTGATTTATACGGCTCATATCGCCTCGGCATAGAGCTCATCCGAGGTATCGCTTTTCTTATTCCCCGCGAGAGTCTCCCTATCTGATACTTGTGGCCTTGTCTCTTTCGCATATGGTGCCTCACTTCACCATGTTTACCTGCAGCGTAATAGATTTACACCTCGTTGCTCGGGTACTCGACCTTGGTCGTGGCGCCGAACTCCTCCTTGATGCTCCTCATGCTCACAAAGCGGCCCATGATCGCCTGGCTGCCGGCCTTGTCGTTGGTACCACTGGCCCGGCTGCCACCAAACGGCTGCTGACCCACCACGGCTCCCGTGCTCTTGCAGTTGATATAGAAGTTACCCGCCGAGTTGCGCAGCTTCTCCTCGGCAAAGCGCACCGCCGCCCGGTCGGATGCAAAGATGGAGCCCGTAAGGCCGTACTCGGAGGTGCTATCGACAAGCTCGCAGGTGGAAGCGAAAGCACCAACAGGGTCCTTAGTGTCGTCATAGACATGAGCAACGAGCACTGGGCCGAATAGCTCTGTGCTCAAAAGCTTGTGCCGCGGATTGGTCGTCTCGTAGATAGTCGGGTGAATGTAGTAGCCCTTGGACTCATCGTACTTGCCTCCCGTCAGCAGCTCCAACTCGGAGTCGTCCTTGGCAGCGTCAATGACACCTGACAGCTTCTTGAAGGAAGCAGTGTGGATGACGGGACCAAGGAAGTTCTTGGCCTCCCATGGCACTCCGATGCTCAGCTTCTCAGTCTCCTCTACCAGCTTCTTCTTGAAGTCTGGCCAAATGGACTTGGGCACGTAAAGACGAGAGGTAGCACTGCACTTCTGCCCTTGGTACTCGAACGCGCCTCGCACGGTCTGAACCGCAGCATTCTCGATGTCAGCTGACGAGTGAATCAGGTGGAAGTTCTTGCCACCAGTCTCGCCAACAATACGAGGATAGCCAACATATCTGCCCTCAGCAATACCCTCACCAATTTGGCCGTAGAGCTTCCTAAACACAGCTGTGCTACCAGTGTAGTGTAAGGCAGCAAACTTCTTGTGGCTCAGAATAATCTTGGTGATCTCTTCCGGCTCACCAGGAATGAACTGGATGACGTTCTTGGGAAGACCTGCCTCGATGAAGATGTTGTAAAGCAACCAGTTGGATGCGATGGCGTAGTCAGATGGCTTCCAGACGACGACGTTGCCTAGCAGCGCCGGCACACCCGGTAGGTTGCCAGCAATGGCAGTGAAGTTAAAAGGGGTGATGGCGTAGACAAAACCCTCGAGTGGCCTATATTCTATCCGGTTCCAGACGCCGCTGGTGTTGTGTGCTGGCTGCTGAGCGTAGAGCTCCTCTGCGTACTGAACATTGAATCGAAGGAAATCGCACAATTCTGCGGCAGCGTCAATCTCGGCCTGCCATGCGTTCTTGCCCTGCCCTAGCATCGTCGCAGCCATTATGTCATATCTGTACTTGGTAGAGATGAGATCGGCAGCCTTCAAGAAGATGGCCGCTCGGTCAGCAAAGGTGAGCGACTCCCACTCGGGCTTCGCCGCGAGTGCGGCATCGATGGCCGTCTTGACATCTTCCGGGCTGGCTTTGGAGTAGGTGGCGATGACCTCCGAGTGGTTGGAGGGGTTCAGCTGCTTGCCGGTCGAGGATGTCTTGATCTGTTTGAACTGTGTGTAAGTCGTGTCCTCCAGTGAGTGAATTCCGATTGAGTTGACTCACTTCCTTTCCACCAACCACAATTGGCACTTCTAAAGGTCCCTTCTTTTGGAGGCTCTGAACTGCTGCGAAGAGACCCTCACGCTGCGCGGAACCCTTGGCGTAGTGTTGCTGGATCAATGATTAGATAAGGGTTTCATAGACTAGGCATTGGAGGTTTGGAGGTAACCACACATACATTGGGCTCGTTGGTGACCTTGGGCACCTTGAAAGTAGCTATCGTGGACATTCTGCTCGGTGTTGTGGACAATGCTCGTATGGAATGTGTAGTCAGGGAGCTGGACCGGGAGAGTCGTCGAGCAGTCGAGTTCATCAAGAGAGCTCCGCTGCACCTGAGCGACGCCATTGGGGGCTATTACACCTTTTGTACGACCCGAGAGAACTTCGATTTCTTATTAGTTGGCCCAGGGAGGTATGTTTGGTTATTCTGACGAAAGGAAAACGACACTTCCCTTTTCCCTTTCGTAATTGCCCCTCCTCACAATGGCTGGAGGAGGTGGTACCTCCCAAGATAGGTCAGCATCCCAGGCGGCTTCCTACGGTTTAATCAGCCCGGGGAGGGGACCCCTAGCGGGGCCATCTGGCGGGACAGCCAGTGAATTGCCCAATTGCATCGCTTCTGCATGCTGTGACCGCCAACCAAGCCGGCGACCGGCCATCCACTAACACAGCTGCCGGCTGTTATCGATTCACTGCTGCGACTACGGACTTGGACACCGCACCCTGTGCATGGGCTGGCCGGCTGTCCTCGCGGCTTAGTGATTGGTTATGCGGTTGTCAGTGAAGATTCGAGCTTCTCGGAGGAAGCTATCGAGCCTATCTCACGATCTCATCGTCCCATTTTCGGGAGTCTGTACTGTACCTAGCTGTACGCACACAACCCATGGGTAGCCGATTGTGCGACAACGGATGTATGAACAGAGCTTAATCTGGCAATTACCGTGACTAATGCCTATGTCCAACATAAATTCTCATCATGGTTACGCATCTAGGAAAGCTATTCTGTCTCGAATGTTTCATAGATAGCATCCAGCGCTTGCCGGTGTCCGCGCTTGGCCTGAAGGGCCATTGCTTGCTAAATTACTTGTCCCCGGAACTCTAGAACATCCGCAAAATGGGGGTTTCGCTGATCTGTAGGATGTAAATCATTTGGGTCTGCTTGCTTAAAAAATTTCCGAGCCCAGGCCGCTGGGCATCCGATTCGGCTCCGGCTCCCATCACGGAGTGAGCGTCCGGTGTCAATGCTACGACTGTCTCAGACGGAGACCAGTCCGGAGCGGCAGTACCGGTGCAGTGCCGGCAACCCAGCAACACCCTAAAAACGATCTCTATGCTCGTGGCATCTCGTAAAAAGGGGAAGCGAGAAGCAGACAGACCGTACAGTCAGTTGGTATTTTGTTCAAATTTGAATGCAGTATATATCTTTTCCAAGCCGGAGCTGTCTCATTGTTTGGCTTAAACATATACAAGTCGACAGAATGCCAAGCTAATTGCCATTCATGTCTCCGACGTCTGCACCCTACAACGACCAGTCTCTGCAACACAATAATTATTGTTATCCATCTTTACATATTCAATCATAACTGAACCAAGGCAGTGCTTAATATCTAACGAAGATGCTCCTGCTAGTGATGGGTAGGATTGAACGTTTCTGCTGTATAGGAGGAATCACGATAGCTAGGTATCGAGTGCTGGCCGAAAATTGTTCTCTCAAGGTATCTTACCGTTAGGCGGAATCGTTTCCTGTTGACCAGTGCTTCTATCGGGACGACGTTGAAGGCTTGATCTTGTGTAACTACGGAGTGACTGTAACAGCACCTCTTTGCATGGTTTGTTTAGGAGACGAACCTGTGGGTGGATTGAATGAATTACAGCACGCGTGCCGTAGAGCCAAGCCGGTTAGTCGGCGCAAGGCCGTTTTAGTCTTGCATATGATAGCGGGATTGCTACGTCATCTCTGGCTTGGAGCTGCACCACAGGATGCATACAAGCCATTACAAGCCACTCTAGCCACGTCTCTTCCAGCTAAAGGCAGAGACCTCACTGAAAGTAGGGAGCCTCGCGAAGCAGCATTACGATGACCACTTGATCTAGATGCACCTCGGCGCCCTGGGCAGCTGAAATTCCTCGACGAGGGTCGAATTGAATGTGGTCCAACGGTGGGGCGCGTGCATTCTGTCTCGGACGGATCGCTTATCCCTTGGTGGGAAGCAGTGCAAATCATCAGACAAAATGAGCTGAGCGGCGCTGCACAGCAAATGAAGAAAGACCGTGATCACCAGGGGCAATGCTCCCTCCCATCGTGGAAGGAGGATGCCTCCAGACCTCTGATACCGGCACAGCCATAAGTAAAATCTTATTACATCGACGTAGAGATGGCAAACCTGCGAGGTGCCGTCAATGCCGCTGTATTTTCGTCTTCGTGCCTTGGTCTGACGATGCCCAAATGACCGCTGGACCTTTTAGCATTCGGGCAACCTCTCCTTTTCCTGCTCTAACAGCCTTGGCATGCGCTCATCGCTGCTGACCTTGCGTGGAGCTGGGATGGGGTGAGCTGTTAGTACCCGGGAGCTCACTGTTAGCTAGTACTGTAGCTTTTGTGTGGCGGTGCAGCTTATCGCAACGTTCTCAACTAGCAGCGGAAGGGGGAGCTGTCGTGTAGCTTCATCTAAGTTGAGTTTGGTCGGTCGGTTGGCTTGCCAGCCTACCCGCTTGATCCTCGCGCGCCCACCGTCCGCAAAACACTATCCAATCCTCCTCATCCCATTTATCATCCACACATTTCCCTTCTACTTGCCTGTCTGGCACCGTGAACCTGTATCTCTCATTCCCTTTCCACGCTTCCAAAGACCACAGACGGCTCCGTCGCAAACCATCGCGCAGGACCGTGACTGCCCCTCCCTCTGTTTACTTTGTGCTTGTTGCTTTTGCGCTCGTCGCACAGGCTGTATCTCGCACCCAATCTGACTCCTGCTGGTAGGCTATTCGTCCTTGACATCCCACCAGCGAGGATCGCATATTAATTGACAGCTCGGCCAGGTTATTTTCCACTCAGAGCTTCTACGAAACGATACCCCGTGCAATATGGCACACCACAGAAAAGACGCCGACATCGAAGACGAGCTCGCAGATCCTCGCAATCCCTACGCGTCGTCCACACGATGGCGCCACGAGGAGTCATCTGCGTACCGGCGCCACGCTGGCAGTCAGATGGCTGCACGCGACGCAGAAGTCAGAGGCCAGACTACTGACCTGGCCAAGTTCCTGAACTCTTCGAGAGTCTCGCCCGAGGACAACCCAGCAGGGCCTCGAGAACCCGGCGCATCGAAGTCCAAGCCAATTGTGATAGGCGAGGCGCATGCGGTGGCTGTCGGAGAGCCCGAGCCGGAGAATGTCGATCCCACCCAGGCTGTTCCCCAAGACGGCAAGACAATCGCTTGCGGGCCATTGCTAAATTACAAACATATGGATGGAAATTTGTGGCATGGCAGTGTCCTGGTGGTCACCAAGGGAGGCGGCAAAGAACCGACTCCTGCGCCGACATTGGTCTTGAGACAGGTGGGATCAGCTAGCGGCTTTGGCTCCCAGTCAGGTCCTGCGGCTAACGGCAATGGAGAGCACAATGTCGGAGCTGTTAGCAAAGCCTCTGGAGGTATAGAAGTCCAAGGTGTTTGTCTCTATTCGGATGCGCGTAACACATTTTGGCGGTTCAACATCGATGTGGAGATGGAGGAGACCGAGACGAAGTGGGAATATGCCCTGCCTGAGCTGCGTTTCGTGAGCAAGACGAAGCCCCGCGTCAACTCCTTCTTCGTACCCGCCATCACCGAGTCAATGCGAATCATGTTCCATTCTTGCAATGGCTTCAGCGTAGGGACTGATGAAGAAGCTTGGAGCGGGCCTGCGCTATGGAATGATGTGATGAGGCGCCATAACGAGTCACCGTTCCATGTCATGATCGGTGGTGGTGACCAGATTTACAATGATGGAATCAGAGTTAATGGGCCACTGCGCGAGTGGACAAATATTGGTAACCCCAAGAAGCGGAGGGAATTCCCTTTTCCGGAGAAGCTACGTTCTGAGTGTGACGACTATTACCTGAGGAATTATCTTCGATGGTGAGTGTTTCTGTGTTCCTCTTTCTTTATCGTAGCTGGGCCCGTTACTTCTGGGAAGCTCTTGGAGCGAGATTTGTACTAATCTTGGGTCTAGGTATTCCACTGAACCATTTGCCGCAGCGAATGGTCAAATCGCCCAGGTCAATATCTGGGATGATCACGATATCATTGACGGCTTCGGGTCTTACGTGAACGAGTTCATGAAATGTGATGTGTTCAGAGGTATTGGAGGAACAGCGCATAAGTATTACATGCTGTTTCAACACCATCTTCCACCGCCGCTATCTACCTACACATCCGACGCGCCGGAAACAGTTACAGAACCCGGCGAGCGAGGAGGTGTTGATGAACAACAACTGGCAAATGCATTCGTGGGCAAGGCGATCAAGGAGCCGTGTTATATCATTGGCACCAAACCTGGGCCCTACGTGGCTGAGCATTCTCACAATATATTTGCCAAACTTGGTGCGAGAATAGCCTTACTGGGCATCGACGCACGTGTAGAACGCACACGTCACCAAGTCAACTACCCGGAGACATATGACCTGGTATTTGGCCGTCTTAAGGAGGAGCTGAATGCCGCAGCGAGCTCAGGAAACCCATTCAAACACGTCATTCTACTCCTCGGCATCCCAATTGCCTACCCGGTAGGTCGATTCTTTTTCTACCTATATGAACTCTACTAATACATCATCTAGCGGTTAACATGGCTTGAGAATATTTTCTCGAGCCCCCTCATGGGCCCCATCAAGTTTGCCAATCGAAGATTCGGCCTTGGTAAGTTGTCCGTGATATATGGCTCGAAGCTTTCGGCTTTGCTAACGCTTACCAGGTGGTGGTATTTTCAACCGTTTTGATGGAGGCGTGGATTTGCTTGACGACCTCGATGACCACTACACTGCTAGAACACACAAAAAGGAGCGGAACGCTTTTGTAGAACGCCTTCAGACGATATGCGCTGATCACTCAGTGCGAATCACAATATTAGGTGGTGATGTCCACTTGGCTGCTCTTGGTCGTTTCTACTCAAACCCTAATCTTCACATCCCGACTGAGAACGATCATCGTTACATGGCAAATGTGGTGTCTTCGGCGATCGTCAACAAGCCACCCCCACAAGCTATTGCCAACTTACTGGCACGAAGAAACAAGATTCATCACCTCAACCATGATACGGATGAGACCCTCTTGAAGTTGTTCAACAAGGACCCTGGCGACTCCACCAAAACAGCTGGCCACAACCAGGTCACGATGCCGAGTCGCAATTTTGCAATGATCACGGAGAACTCTCCCAACAACCCTGGAAGAGATGAAGCTATTGCTGCAGCCCATCCAACCACGAATGGTGATCACCTCGCACCACCAGATGCCGCGCCTCCTGGCTCAAGCCACAGCAACGGTGCTCGGTCACAGAAGTCTTCGAAGTCGTCCAAATCGAGTAATGGCAAAGGTGGCCATGGACCCTTGCATGTTGGCGAGGTTGATGCTGGAACGGCACATCGGGCCGCATCTTCAACCCTTCACGGCAAGGGCAATGATGGCAGTATAGATATCTGCATACGGGTCGAGATCGACCAGCATGACAAGAACGGGAGGACTGAGAGTTACGGTCTGACTGTACCGACTCTACAGTACACGGCGGCAGTGCGACCAGCCACATCTCTTCGTGGGTAGTACCCCAAGGCCAATTGGTGGAAGACGAGATTGCTGCATGATGGGCACGATGATGATAATAAGGACGGTGTGCGACACCCTAATACAACCAGCGATTGGGTGTGGCTCTGGGAAAAGAGGGCATGTGCAAGCGCCTCAGCATGAAGCAGCTGAAAGGAAACCGTGGCATTGACGACCAAGCACTTTTATTCTCTGTATGGACTTTGCTGTGTTTTAGTAGCCAGAGTAGCATTATGACCCAATCTAGTACCCCTTACTTTTCTTCATCTGAATAGACAGATGAATTTGCTCAAGTCCTTTTCTATACATATCAATATGATGGTTTTAATATTACAATTCGGATGAGAAACTTGGAGATCAGATCCAAGACCTCCTGAATATGATCTGCCCAAGGCGATCAAAGCTCACAGATCATCACTGACACAAAATCTCACTGAAGAAACATACAGTGCCAATTAGGCGAGTTTCTGAAGACAGGGGCAGCCTCAGCGCGTGCCCTTTCCCCGTCTCACCATCGGAATGTGGAGTTCCTAGACCGGTTAATTGACAGGGAAGCATTCCCACTAAATCCCCCGACGCCAAGTGTCGCCAGGACCTCAACCCTGCAGATAGACTTTCTGTCCCTTTCCCCAGTGCTCAGTTGCCTTGCAACTTTCCACCATCACCATCCGAAGAAGAACATAGTTCTCGAACTTGTTCTTGGACGGGAATAGAGCACTGCCATCACACTGCAGAATGGCAGCATAATGATCTCGCCGGACCGAGTTCAGTTGCTGCATTGCTTACTGCCGCGATCACTATCATGATGGACGCTCCCTTCGCGGCGGGCTCTGCCCTCCGGTCCTCGCTCGCGGGCATCCTGCTGCATATCCTCTTATTCATGACCTCTATCGCTGCCGCTTACACGCCTATATCCGATAACTTCCTCCGCCTGGTGCCCGATGCTGGGGTCGATATGGACATCCACACCGGCAAGCTGCTGGCACCACTCCTGATCCCTCGCGTGCCCGGAACTCCTGGGATCCGCGCAGCGCAGGACCACTTTGTCAACTTCTTCAAGAACGAGCTCCCGAAATGGAAGATCGAGTGGCAGAACTCAACCTCAAAGACGCCCTTGTCAGGCGACTCGGAGGTGCCCTTTAGCAACCTTATATTCTCGCGCGAGCCCCCCTGGACAAAGACGGGGCAGGCCAACATGCTGACGCTGGTCGCGCATTACGACAGCAAGATCAGCCCCGAGGGCTTCATCGGCGCGGTCGACAGCGCGGTACCCTGTGCAATTTTGATGCACGTGGCGCGCAGCATCGACCAATACATGACCCAGATGCACGACGAGATGGTAGAGTTGGGAGAGTTAGGCGGCACGCCTGCAATGGATATGGGCGTGCAGATACTATTTCTAGACGGCGAGGAGGCATTTGTGAAGTGGACGGATACGGATAGCTTATACGGGGCCAGGTATGAGGCTCTTTATTCCCCTTTGGTGACTGGGACACTAGACCACTAACATGGCACAGAGCACTGGCCGCACATTGGGAGACCGCACCAACAATGGTGCAGGCCAATTTCCCGAACCGGCTGAACCAAATCAGCATGTTCGTTCTACTAGACCTGCTGGGATCTGCAGGCCCCAAGGTCCCGTCATATTTCCAGTCGACGCACTGGGCGTATCAGGGCATGGCTCTCCTCGAGGAGCGCATGCGTGGTTTTGGCCTCCTCGAGACCAAGCCCGACCACCCCTTCCTGCCCGACTCCGGCAAGATGTCGACGCAGTTCGGGAGGGCGTTCGTGGAAGACGACCACGTTCCGTTTCTTCATCGGGGCGTGCCAACGCTCCACATAATACCAAGCCCCTTCCCGATGAACGTGTGGCATAAAATAGAGGACGACGGCGAGCACTTGGATATGCCAACCGTGCGGGACTGGGCGAAGATCGTGACGGCGTTTGCACTTGAGTGGCTAGATATGTCAGAGGTGGAGCCGAATGCTGGGAAGGTGAGGAGAGAGTTCCAAGGGTGAGAGCCCAACACCATCATAGATATTTGAAATATTGATACCTCAATAATTTTTTTTTTTTTTAAAAAAAAAATTGCTCGACTGTGATTTGAAAATCATGCCACCGGTTCGCAGCAAGGGACACCCAGCCAATGTTGATAGTATTGCTTCAGTAAGAGTGGCATTCCTCTATAGTCTATTGTTTTCTATGGGTACAGCAGTATACAAATTGGTTCCATACATGCGTATTACAGTTATCTAAGATGCCCAGAGGAGAGCATGCTAGGCTATCCTCTTCTGTATAACCTGTTTGCTCATCTTCACGCTCTGTTGCTTTTCCTGCAACACTGCTTTCCGACGTTCCAGTCTCCTTCGTAGGATCTCGCCGCATCCCACGCCCGCAGCCATGCCGCCAATATGGGAAGCGACATCAACCATATGCCTCTTTCTCCGTACCACGGCCACTAGGTTAAAGCCCAGGACGAGCCCGATGAATCCCAAGCCCTGGATGCCTTCGTACGGATCAGGAGGCAGGCCGAGGATCTTGAAGCTGTCGAACTTGTGCATCCAGAAGTAGGCAGTCAAGATTCCCATAACGCAGCCGGAGGCGCCCAGGGTCGTGTAGACCAGTCGGTCTCTCAGCACGAGCTCCCACATGGTGGTGAGGAAGCCGAGCGAGCCACAAGCGATATAGGTGGCGACGAAGTTCCCGCGGCCAACCTCGTCGTGCAGACGGGTGCCAAAGAACCACAGCAGCGGAAGGTTGTAAATCATGTGTTTGAACTGCTGGTGCGAAAACATGGCGCCGAAGATGCTAATGGGTCGCGGAGTAGAGGCTGCCATCAAGAAGTAGCGGTTCAACAGGGGCCAACATGGCGGGAAGTGCCACATCGACCAGATGACAATATTCGCAGCAAGAATGGCAAAAACGGTCGCGGCAGCGGGTGGGATTTCCGGCCAGAGCCTATCCTCGTGTTTCGGGGGTTTGTATACCTCGCTCAAGACATAGGCGGCTGCTACGACTAGCAGCACGAGAACGGTTGAGGGTGCAAGTCGGTCCCACTTTGTCATTTCGGGTGATTCTTCGGCACCTGTTGTTGCCTTGTATTGCCATTCACGAACCCAGGGGCTCCTGGCTTCAGGATGAAGACCGTCGACGGTAACTAGCTCTCCGGCAACCACCTCGGGCTGTTCCGCTTCCTTCTTGCGCCTCTCTTCCTCTAGGCGCTGTTCCTCCTCCGCTTGGCGCGCCCTATTTCGGGCCCTTATCCGGTCGAACACTCCTACGCCATACACGTCGTCGGCTTCCGACTTTTGTGCCGTCTCTGCACCCTCTTCTGCCGGCTGCTCCTCCTCGATCTCCTCAGGCGGCGCGACCCCTCTTTCCAGCTCGCGTAGCTCATCTTCGGCTCGCAGGCCAGCGTTGATGACCTCATCCACAGGCACGGTCTTGCGCAGGTATGAAAGGGCAGTCTCAATCTGCGATGATGTGAACGAGGCCGTGTGTGGATGATATGCGGGATCCTCCAGCGTTCCGGCCACGCGTCGCCCATGTATGATCCTCAACAGCGTGTTGGCACTCTGCGTGCTCATTCCCGGCCCAAATATTGACAGCACCTCCTGGGCGTCGAGGTCCGTCTGTTGAAATGGTAGCCCTTGCTCATCCTTGTAGTTGGGAGGCAGGTCGATGTAGTGTTTCACAACGGATCCTGTGAGCAGGGCTCGTCTTTGTTGGTGCCATATCGATCGCTGCCACCGTTGCATGTGTGCCCTCCTCGGCGGCGCTACAAAAGCCGTGCTATAGCATCGTGATCGCTCGGCACGACATGCCTTCACGCAGGCTCCTAGCAAGCTCGGCTGGCTTCGGGACGCCACTCGCAGGATTGTCTGGAGGCCAGACCGAGAGGAGCTGAGGCCGAGAAAGATGCTCATGGCCGTGGTGTGAATGCGCCCAGTTTGCGCGGCCCCGTGTGGCCAGGATCCATCAACGCGCGAAGAAGGAGTGTCGTTTGGTGCCGGTCAGGTTCGGTCGTCTGATATGAACATTTTCTCCCAGCAAAAGACCCAGCGCCGAAAATTGCCTGCCGGGCCCTGGAGGAGCCCCTGTAACGAGCCGCATGCCGGGGATTCAATTGTCCGCGCACCCCGCTAGAGACGGTTCATCCCACCTACAAAGTACCCCGAGAACGTGGGGCAATCTCAAGCTCCAGCTCCCCGTTGAGCAGGCAGCTGAGACGTTTACGCAGTACCGGCCTTAGTACCTTCTGCGAAGACTTACAAGCCCAGAAAGAAGGAGGAGGATTGGGAACGTCACTTGGTCAAAAATCCTGCCATATTCCCCCGGATAGCTCAACACAAACACAACACGATCAAACATGTCCGCAGACACCCTCCCCATCTCGCCGGCACGCTTCGCCGAGGCGCTGAAAGACCTGTCTCTCTCCTCGCTGCACCTCAAGGTCCTCGAGATCCGCAACAGCATAGCGCACCTCGACTACAGCAACGAGCAGCTGCGGCCCTTCGCCGAGGGCACGGAGGCGGTACTGGACGTCGCCGGCGGGGCCTCCAGGCCAGGCGTGCCCGACCAGGACTGCCTCGATGCGATCCGCGAGAACGAGGCGGTGATTGAGAAGATGCAGGAGCGCATCCGGCTCGTGCGCGTGGAAGTCGAGGGCCGGGGCGTCAGCTGGACGGAGTTCCAGAGCAAGGAAGAGGCGGAAGCCGCGGCGGCTGCTGCTGCTGTTGCTGCTGCGCGGACAAATGGGGTGAATGGCCATGGCGAAGACGATGCTACACAGACTGCGAGCCCAGAGCGGCAACATTCAGCATGGGCCGACGGAACCTTCCAGACAGGCGTGATTCGCAACGGCGAGGTACAGATGGATGCGCAGGCCGGTCAGCGCGTGCAACCTGGGCAGGCTGCTGCTGGTACTGGAGGAGGTCGTTTAACAGATGAGGAACTACGTCGCATGCTAGAAGAGCGATTAAATCACCAAGACGATGACGATGACGAGGAGGAGGGTGGTATGCACCTATAATGGTTTCTAAAGCATCACCTATCTGCTCTTTCCAGGTGTGCAAGCTTTTTGGCGTTTGGACGGGAAAATGGTCATAGAGGGTTAAGAAGGGACATGTCGAGAAGCAAGCAAATACCCACCGAATAAGATCTTCGCTTTGAAATACCGCGAACGGTTCCGAGTCTTGACATCCAAATGATGATACTGTGCAAAACGAAGTGGACGAACTTATTTCTTCAGTCTGTCTAACAGGCCACCTCCTCAGATTTGGTCTGGTCTCGCTGAGGGCAGATAAATACAAAGGGACTTCTTGCTAATTCTCTTCCACCACGAGTAGGGCAAGCCAAAGACTGTAACTTTTTGTGCACAATAACCCATATGGACACCATCCTCTGCCCGAACGCCGTTTGCATGCTTAGCCGCCAGCAGAAACCAATGCTGTATCAATGCAACCCAGAAGCCCCATGCTAGGGAAGTAAACAGAGTAAAATACAACATAGAAGTAGAACAGCTTAGGAAGTCATCTCATGAAATGCCAGCCCGCTGTCAATGGACACGCCAGTTGGTCGTTTGTGTTCGATCGGACTGGACGTAGAAGAAGACTCCTTGGGTGTGCTCTCTGAGCCACTGGGCGGCAAATCCGCCGTTGTAGTCGGTTGTAGTGTGTTTGCGTTTTCATCAGCCGCATCTCCGCTCGTTATAGTCGGTAATTTGGGTCTCTGCACAGCATGCCGCGTAGGTATACCATCAATGACCTTCACTTCGTCATCCTCTTCCTCCGAGTTGAACTCAGATCGTCGAGCCGCATGTTGTGCTGCTCGCTTCTTCCGTCGCCTTTCTAATATGCTGTCTGTTGATGTCTGTGACTCGGTCGAAAGACTTCGGCTCCTGCCCCCCTGACCAAGGCTCTTCCCCTGAATAGTTGACGAGGTCGCCGTTCTTCTTGATGTGGGTCTGGTTAGGATGGTCATCTCTGACTCTTCTGGCAGCTCTCCCTTCCGTATCTTTCCCTCGACAAGTTTCTTGCTCACTAGGCGGCTTAAGGGTGCCTCCTGTGCATCACCATGGGAGCCGATTGTTCTCCTACTTGCCATGCTCGTCTGGCTTGCCGTTCGACTCACGGGTACCTTGCCCTCCATGACTTTGGCCGGTGGTGGTGGTTGTAGCATCCACTTGTAGCCGTCCCTGTGGAGTGGCTTATTGCTGACTACCGGAGGATGATAGTCATTGACCGGAGGGTTCTTGGGGCTGAAATAGAAGTTCTCGCGGTCTTCCTCGGAAATCGCCTTCTCCCGGCCCAACCTCCCGTCCAATACTCTGCCCGCCGCGGATCCTGCCTTCGCTATGGCGTCCATCAATTTGTGTCCTGCCCAAGCAATGTCATGACCCCATAGCTCCTCATCTTCCCTCTGATATCTCTTGTGGTTCCAATCCGCTGAATCAGCCACTGACATGGAGAAGGTCGTTCGGGCGTCCTCGGCGACCATCGTTGGGCTGCTGCTCGTATCCAGACTGTTTACAGCTGATGTACTCCCACCTCTACTCTCGTGCCCCGCGCTCGTCAACCGGCGCTGGCTTGTGTTCTTGCTCCCTCCCTTTTTGGGCAGGCTCGGGCCCATTGTTATCTCCTCATCCCAGTACGGATTCGTATTAAACGGTGACGGGTGTCGATATAGATTTGGCTGCTCCGTCTCGAGGCGTGCCCTTTCTGCGCGCTCCTTTTTGGCATCCTGCCGCGCCTTCTTCCGGTGACGGACCTTGGCGCACGGCGTACAGGCGAGAAAGTAGAAGACGGCGGACTGGACGGCGACTGTGAACGACATGGCGTCTACACGGTGGCCCTCCCTCCCCTAAACGAGACGCATCTGAGATGTATTTGTAACCGGTGGTGAGATTGAACCGGTTTCGTCAACACGCAGCAGCTCGGCCCGATGGTGGACTTATACAGGAATACCACAGAAGGGCAGCGGCGACATGAGATATGCCGAAGCAACCGCCACGGTACAGAAAGTTGGAATTGGAGTCGATGGGAGCGAGTTGTCTGCTCGGCCTGTGCTATCCGAGTAAGGTGGGTAGAGGGTCCCACAGGTCTCCAGACGGCGCAGGAGACAATCGATAGGGGAAGAACGGGAGTGTACGGGACCCCAAGCCTCAGGCTGCGAGTTTCAGAAGCGACCACTGCTACCTATGCCCCTATGGGATAATGGAGAAAGTGACGCTGGTGGGTCGGCTACTCAATCTCCAGTACTATGCAATAATAGTACAGAGACCTAGCAGGGAGCGTGGCGTGCCGGCGTGGGTCGAGCGAGCGCTGTCGAAACACCAGTCGAGCTTGGCTGGCCCAACAATGACGAAAGGACCTGGAGTCTCTTCCAGCGACGACACTGCGGTGAGGACGACTGATGACGGGCGGATTAATTCAGAGAAGCAGGTATCTGGCTTCTCGACAGTCCAATTGCGGCGTGACAGAGAAGACTGAACCTGAACGGACGAGCAAATGGTCGAGGGAGCGGGGGATGAAGCAAGGAGTAAAGCCTCCGTAGAGGGAAAAGGGCCGCAATGGGGCCAGTTCTTTTACTAATGAATGCACGAATGGGGCAGCGAAAACGTGGAGGAAGAGGAGGAGGAGGAGGAGGAGTAGGAATGGAGCGGCCTTGCACAAGAAGCCGGCGGTGAATTGGATTGAGCTGAACTGAACTGAACTGAACTGAACTGAATTGCTAGGAGTGGCTTCGATGGAATTGAGTTGAATTGAGTTGAATGGGATTCATCGAATGCTTTATTCGGCAGATTGGTGAAAGGTTGGTTTCTCTGTTTATCATCATTTCAAGGAGGACCAGAGAGACATACAGTAGCACACAGCACCCCAGAACAGACAGACGGACAGAGAGGGGGACTGCTGCTGAGGGAAATAAACCCCCCTACCTCTACCCAGGGACCCAAGGGACCAACCTTGACGAATAGCACATGGGGGTCCAACCAAAAGGGGCGACCACGTCGCTGGTTCGCTGTGTGGCGCACTGCAAGGCCCCCGAAAGTGTGGCACTGCAGCAGCAGCTGTTGCAGCCCACTCCCCTCCATTCTCTCCCCCGTTGGTTGGCCAGTGACAGGTCAACCTGGGCCTACTGCATAGTATAAACGAGTCCAGAATCCAGATTACCCAGTCGGCCCTGGGAATGGCAGGGGCCAGTGGTTTGGGAAGGCCCGTGGGATGTATCAATTCAACCTTGCCCGTTCCTTAGTGCTCCCGAAGTATGCGGGATCGGGCTGCAGAGATGCAGCCAATGCAGCAATATCAGCAACGTGTTAATGCCAATGCAAATAAATGTTAATGGGGAGGCAGGAGGCACGTTAATGGAAGGTGAGGCGAGGAGGCATTCCAGCAAAAAAAACTTGGACTGCCCTCTTTTGACACATGACAGCGCTCGCTCGCTAACTAGGTACACTTCTGTATTCTACGGTACTCTACTGCATACTATGTACAGTAGACATGTAGGAGTACAAGCAGAGTAAAACAGCCAATCACTGGGAAATAAATGGACGGGAGGACTGTCCGGGACAACAACGATGATGATGATGGCGCGCATACAGAGATAAGCATAACTGACGCCACTGAAACCGTGGTGTAAGATCAGCTTATCGCTGCAGCCGCTTTGCCTACGAAGTTTCGCCTCCCCCTCGAAAGAGCATATAGCCTTTTACCCACGATCTTGAAATGAATGAGGGTTGGCTTCAGTAGAGTTGAGCCAATATGCCATATGGGCAGGGCTTGACTTCTGCCTTCGTAATATGGCATGCTGAAAACCCAGTTTCATATGAAACACGTAGAATGGCATCATATCAAGATAAGACAAGAGGTATATTGCACCTACAGTACAGTGAGCTGTGACCTCTACGAGTGGGATGGGCAGTATTCAACACCCGAAGGATCAGAGACATTGTGGATCATCTGCTGCGCTGTCAATGTGGGCTCTGGTATGGGTGGTTGTGGATGCAGATTACCCTACACCTGTGCCTCCTGAACAACATGTTTGGCGATAGCCAGCAACCGGTTTTCTTTCTTTTGAGCAGCTGATATGCATCTCATTCGTTCATGAGATAGGACACTGGTTATCAACGATTGCCACAGACAACGCCAGAACCCGTTCCATCAAATTGATCATGTTGAATTCGCGATACTACAATCTCCTTTGGCACTATGATCTATGATCGCCCGCCAGGCCATCTCTGGCCTCGCCCTCCGCGCATTGTCTTGGCATCAAGGACAACCCCACCAGCTTTCCACCGAGCCACCCACGCGTCGTCGTCGCGATCCTATCGAACCAGGAAACTGCGCTTCCAGAACGCCAGACACACCCTTGCCACCCACGTTGTAAGCCGGGGGTGTTCTGATAAGCTCGTAGGGCCATATCTGGTGCAGTCTGGCTGGCGATCAGCGTCATCAAGTCGAAGAGGACCTTTATTCTTTGCTTAACCACGACTACCGCACGAGAATTTTTGTCCTCTCTTGGGGCCAGATCAAGTACGTGTAGCTTAATTTGCAGTGGTATTTGTCAGGTAGTAGAAAAGTCACATGAACCTCGTCTGGTCAAACACAATCTCCTTCGCCGTCAACGGGACATGTCAACGATTTTTTAAAAGTGCTTTTGTGTCTTTTGTGAGGTGTTATCCCGTACTATCATACAAATGTGATCATCGACTGTTTTGCCATTTGCTGAAGCGGCACCTCAGTTCTGAATGCCACCAATTCAGGGGTTCAAAATCGATCCGTTAACAACAATGTAACAATATGAGAGACATAATGAAAAGAAAAAGAGGTAGGTAGGTGCTATGTCGGCTTTTTCTCCCTTTGTGATCCTTGACGCTGTACATACACTCCCAAAAACAAAACGGTCGCTTTCGACCAACGCCATATGTCGTGCGATGCAAGGACGGTCTTCCCAGGTGTAGACCTATTTGTGAAGTAAAGTTTGTTGGTCCTTCACCAGTGGAAAGCCCTGCTTGGAATCAAGGAAAATCTTTTAGACATCCCACTCTGCCTCCTCCTCGGCGTCATCGGCTTCATTAGTGCTCAGAGCCGCGAAAGATGACTTTTGTGTGAAGGCTTTGGTGGGCCGTCCATTGGTAGCAGGTTGTGTCATCGAAGCAGACTTGTTCGTGACTGGCACCAACACCTGGGGTTCGGTTACAAAGTTGTCGGTCTTGCTGTCGTTTGTAATGCCGTTCTTCTTGGCCTTTCCTTTCTTGGTCTTGACTGTGCTCCAGGCCTCCTCCTCTTCTCGCAGACGCTCCAGTTGCTCCTCCTCAGAAGGCAGAGATGACATCCAGCTCTCGGATTTGCCCACAGAGGGTACTGAAGTGTCAGTCTGCACGCTGCTCGGCTCAAATGTGTCCAATGGCTGGACAGGAATGAAGCCGTCCTCGCCAAAGCTAGTCTGAGTTTTGGAAGTGCCATTCACACCATTTCCTGTCCAGACAGACGGCTTGGCCTGAGCTGCCATGAATGCAGAACCGTCCTTGGCAGCCCTGCCTTCGGCTTGGCGAGCAAGGCGACGCTGGGCCTCCATCTTGACTTTGCGATCCTGCTCAGCCTCCTCTCGAGCAATCTTTGCAGCCTCGACCTTCTTTCGGTTCTGTCTCTGCTTCTTCGTCTCGACTGGTTCTGGAGCCTTGGCCTTCTTCTGAGGTTTCTTCTTCTCCTCGGTGTCTGTCAAGCGGAGGACAGAAGGGCCTGGGGCAGCCTTCTCAAGCATATCAGAAATACCGCCAACATCCGCAGCCGCAACAACAGGCGAGGTGGAAGGGGACTGATCGTCATCGGCATCAATGCCTGCAGTGGAGGACGGTGCAGATGGCTTTTCGATCTCCGCTGGTGCATCCTTCTCCTGGGCGCGAGACTGCTTGACGGACTTCTGTCTCTTCTCATCGTGGGACTTGGTCGCGAACTTGGTGCCCTGCTTGACGCTGTTGAGCTGTCGCGCGAACTCTCGGTTGTCCACTCCATCATCGGAGCTGAAGTCGGCGGCCTTGTTCTGCCATGTCGGCGGTTGAGGCTTGGCCTGTGGCTTTGGTTTAGCTTCCTCGCCCACAAACGCTTCCATCCGTTGGCGTTTGGCCTTGTTGTCTCGTCGAGCCTGCACGCCCTCGCGCTCCACCTCCTTCCTCCGCTGAGCAGCAAGCTTGCCCAATTCCTTTACTCTCTTCTCGTTCCATTGTTTGTATACAAAGTAGCCTGCAATAGAGAGGATGACAGACCATCCGACCAAGGTGGACTGTGACACGCCCATGGTGGCCAATAAGTTGCGCGCGGAGAGTAGATGGCTTCTGGGAGTTCCCAACCGGTCGTAAGCGTTACGTGGCTAGTCTTCAAATTTGGGTGCACTTGGCTGCTGTTGATGAGAGCAGTCGGGATGAAGGCTGCTGGAAGGAGTGGTTGTCGATGTTGAGAGGCGGTTGAGGAGAGAAGGCAATCGTCAATCGCGATGAAGCTGGAGGTGCCTCAGCGGTAAAGTGCAAAAGTAAAGTGCCTACACGTGTAAGACTGCGTCAGCAACGAGGCGGCTCTGTAATTTCGTGTGAAGAGCTGAATAGGTAAGGCATGTCTCACAAGGGAAGGGGGGAATACTGACGATCCGCAGCAAATGGAGATGGCTTTCAGACGAACACGTACTCCACGCTACACATGGGACACCGAGATCCGATGGCAGGCACTGCGTGTCCCAACAACAGGGCTGGGGAAACGAGATAAACGATGGCAAAAGAGGGAAGGATATGGGAAAACACACTGGGAGAGGGAGAGATGAGAGTTCGATGGCGAGGGATGCCGTGAATGGCACACCAGCTTAGCAGGTCTTAGAGTCGAGATAATTAAAAACAGGTGGCTTCTCAGCGGCGAGCTTGCTACCACATCTCCCGTTTTGGAGAGAATCCACAGCTGCCAATAGGTTGTCGTCGCAGCCGCAATAGTGCTATTACGCACCTAGTAAATGCAAGGTCTGGGGGGGATGGAGTGCTGTAGCGTCCGGAGCGAGGTGCCGAGCTCACACTAACAGACCACCCCCCTGGTCAGGTAAAGCAGGCACGAAACACGCGCAGCATCTGCACCTTCCGTAGTGCACTTCATCACGTGAAACCCCTGCTTCCCCGCCCCATATCTACCAAAGAACTAACAGGTCTCCCCAACAAGCCCAGTTGGACCTGCTCTTTCGGGAACCATTCACCTGGCAGGTCACTGTCGCACAGGAGAAAGCAGCCATTTTCCCATTAAATTGCCTGCTTATTGGCTGTCAACGCGACCACTGCACGTCGGCAGAGGCAAACCCGAGATAATGTGTGGCAAGCGGTATTTATTATATGACCTAACTGCATTCTTGTGAGGGATGCCCAAGGAGGGATCGCTTTGCAATTGTTAGAGTTCTGTTAGGAATTGGCAGTGTTTCAATGCCAAAATCTCGTCGTGCTTTACTTGAGGGGAGATAACTCTCCAGATGTTGACTAGATGCCTCTTTTGGTCTCGCCGGGCCAAGCCAAGACCCAAGCTCTACCTACGTAGATAAACTTACCCACTTGAAGCTCTGTTTGGCTGGCCAGGCCCGTCTAAATCTTATGTAAGGCAACTGTGATAAGTGCTGCGCAGTTGCGCCATCAAGGAGGGGCATTTTTGGGCCTCGCGACAAACGTCCCGCAGCGGAGCTGGCCGTGTCTCTAGGTTGCAGTGTTTTCACCTTTGTGTAGGGCTGAGCTTGATCGGTTCATCTGAAGGAACAGAAACATCGCCATTCATTGATCTATCGTGAACAGTGTTGTGACTATTTATCAGACATATTTCGACAGTCATCTGCTGCTAACTGACTGCCCAAGCTTCAGCTTGATCTCCCAGGTTGACCTGATATAAGGCAGTCTATCCCGAATATTAAAAACCCGTTGCACCAACGGATAACCACATCTCGCTAGATTCGTATAGAGGTCTCCCTCCTATCACCGACTAATACGGACGTCTAATTTCTCATCAATACATGATGGCGCCCAAGAACCGTATTATCATTGACACCGACCCAGGTAGGTCCTGTTGAGATGGAGGAACACGGCAGGCAGGTCACTGATATATTACAGGTGTCGATGACACATTGGCCATTCTCTTGGCCCTGGCTGCTCATCCTGATGATCTGGAGGTTGTAATGCTCTCGGTGACATATGGCAACGTACCCCTGCAGAGGTGTGTCACCCTCCAGTCTCTTTACATGTCCGGACATCACTGACCATGACCACTGGCAGTTGCTTGAGAAATGTGGTAGCTCTCTTCCACGTGCTAGAGAAGGAGACTGCTTGGAGAAAGACACAGGGCAAGCCTGAGGGCTTCAGTTCATTGAAGACCTTCAAGCCCATCGTTGCAGTCGGCGCCGAACATCCTCTTGAGGATGACGAGTTGATGGCTGATAACTTCCATGGTGCTGACGGTCTGCATGGTGTCCACGAAGCTGCAAGTGACATTTGATATCCGTTGAAGCTTGTATGTGGCTGACTGTCTGCAGCATCCCGACTTGACACCGGCAGACACATGGAGATCACTCTTTGTGGATGCCACAACCGGTCCTACGGAGTCTGTGGAACCACCATCTTTCTCGTCCTTCTTCACGCCGTCCAAAACGGTTGCTCACAAGGAGATTCTTCGAATCCTGAAGGAGAATCCTGAAGACACAATCTCCATCTGTGCTGTCGGTCCGCTTACTAATTTGGCCCTTGCGGCATCTGAAGACCCCGAGACCTTCTTGCGTGTCAAGGAGGTGGTTGTCATGGGTGGTGCTGTTGAAGTCCCAGGGAACATCACCCCGCTGGCCGAGTTCAACACATATGCCGATACCGTGGCCACGGCTAGAGTCTTTGCACTAACTTCGCCTACTCCATCATCAACAATGCCCCCTGTTCCACCAAACAAGGCCACTCTCCCGCCGTATCCAGCCAAACTGTCCAAGACCTTGAAACTTTCACTATTTCCCCTGGATCTCACATCGCCGCATAATCTGAACAAGAACTTTTTCTCCGGGGTCGTTCAACCACTCATTGACGAAGGCAGTCCTCTCGCCAAATGGATCGGAACTTTCATGTTCGGTACATACAACAAGATCGAGTCTATTCTTCAAGATGGAAAGGAACCAGGAATGTCGCTGCACGACCCTCTTACCATTTGGTATATGATCACTCGGGATGACCCTCTCTGGAAGGCAGTGCCTGAACTCGAGGATATCAGGGTTGAGACCTCAGGTCAGTGGACCAGAGGTATGCATATTATCGACCGTCGTGAGAGGGCCAGACCCCCCAAGCACATTGGTCCTATCACCACCCATCCGGATGATCCTTTGGACGCTGTTGAATTCAACGAAGATGCAAGCAACGATTGGTCAACACCAACCAGGGGAAACAGAATTAACAGAATCATTGGCTCTCCAGGAGAGGATATTTTCGCCAAGTACCTGATGGAACGGATTGTTGGTTGAGCAATTTCTTTGTATTGGGTATCTCAAGGTTCTGGTCTCTTATCTTCGGACTGGGCCGCAGGAATCAGGTTGATGTTAGCTGAGATGACCACCATAGACGAAATAGAGTGCCAGTATCATACCCTATCAGGAAGTCGCATGCCTTTTCGTTCCACGTGTCTCCTCAACGCCTCTTGTAATGCGGCCAGTGCTTGTTACTGCAACTGCAACTGAAGCTGCCTAAATTCGCCCCATTTCCAGCAGCATATACCCCAGAATAGCAAGGTGCTGTCATGGAGCTTAGACGTGCTTGATTCCTCCAATCGGCGCCCCTTTTACCGCCGTCCAGTCGATACTGTTGTCAATCTCCTCATCCACCAGCCCCACTACACACACATTGTCGCCGCGAACAACATAGAGACCCAAAGGGACCTCGGCGGAGGGCTCATCGTCATCGGCAGGACGAATCACACGCTCAATGGCAGAATTCAAGACCTGTCATCCCAGCGAGTTAGCATGAATTGATGGTGCAAGTTGCAAGATTGGCGCTCACCAAGTTCGTAGATTGGTCGTAGCCACTAAGAGTTCCGACAATGGTGCGTCCATCCGCGGTGATCACGGTGACCTTCTCTAGAAAGGATGTTAGCTATTCGGTTCAACAGCATGATCCGAGGGGCTACATACTCTCGACGTAGCCGTTCAAAGACATGGCGGTTGAAGTCTCACAAACTCGCACTCCCTGGATGTTTGATATTGCCACGGCAGGTGATCCAATGAGCTGCACTGCACCAGGGAGAGTTGCTTGTCCGTTTGTGAGCTGCGCCGGACAATGTGTCGTCAATTGATGTCGCGGGGATGGAGCCTGGAAGTTTTTGGGAGGGCAGTCATTTAAGGTAGGAAGCTCTTCGGCCCCGCCCTCCAGGTGATCCCTGCGCTAGGACATCCTTGGACAGTCCCCAATCCACCTTCTGATGATCAGCAAGGTGCCACTTTCTTGACAGCACTAAGAGACCGCAATAACCAAGTCTACTCGTATTCACACTCATTAATGGCCTTCTTCAATACACAGGCATATGCCTAATTTCCAAGAGCTACCTAGGTAGAAGCTATGCCATGATACCAGTATTAGCAAAGCCAAGACTCGGCTAATAACAATAGCTTGATACATGTGGCATGGGGGCACAATGAATAGCCGCCGGCGGACGGTCCAGGCAACAAATTGTCTCTTTATGTCCATTCCTCACGCATTGAGAATGTAGACTATTCCCTCCCATCTGACATATAACCGCCATATTTCCCCAGTTGTCTCGTGTCAAAAGTCAAAATTCAGAAGCTTTAGCCATCATGACTTTGAGGGAGTGTCTAAACACCGATGCCCTGCCGCCGGTGCTGGACATGTATGTCTGCGAGTATGCGTCCCAGCCTCTTTTCTGGAACCTGAGCATCTTCATCGGCGCTTGCTTGATCTTTTACATTTTCCAAGATAAAGGCCATGTCCGCTTTGGCGGGCCACATCCTGATCCTGAGGAAGCGGCCGAGCTTGCTCAATACCTGCCATATCGACGAGCTGCTCCGGCATTTATGCGCAGGCTTCGGCCACATCTCACATCCAATCTACGCAAAGCAATGGTGGTGCTTATCTACCTAGTTGGCCTCATACTACAGTGTACCGAGACGTATTGGGTATTTACAACATGGTGGCGCTTGGTATGGAAATATACTGCTGCTAGATCTGCAATGCTAGCGAGGGAACACACGTCGATGCTTTTCCAGGTTGTAACGCTGTTTCCAATTGTGATATGGGTCACATTTGGAACGAGCTTAACTCTCACTTGTCTATATGTTGTTGGATCTCAAATCAGCAGCTTACGCGAGATCATCACGATAGACCCAGCGTCACCGACGACGATTAGCACTGACCTTCCCCGAACGCATGCATCTGACGGGAAGCTCGAGAAGTCAAGGTCGTTTTTGGAGGAGGAGCATGAGAAATCACCAGAAACAGTCTGATCCTCTGTACAGCAAAGTGCGCTTTGAATAATCTTATACATACGTACTTGAAAATAGGCAACAAAACAACCAGCCACATTACTATTCGCTTTTAAGTTTCGGTGGTAACTCTCAGTCTTCTCAATCTGAACCCTTCCACAGCCCACCTGCCTGTCGCCTTGGCCCTATTCTCCAAATACCTTTGCTCAATAAGCTCGAGGCTGTGTCCCTTTGTCTCGTACATGAACATTGCAATCATCACCGTGCAAAGCAAGGTTGAGAATGCGAAGAAGTAGTAAGCGCCGAAGGTTGACTTTGCGATCAGCACAGGGGTAGTCAACGCTACAATGTAGTTTGCGAGCTGTTCAGACAATTAGCCATCGTTTATCACACAACCGTTTACTACAAAGGTTCGAGAAGCAACTCACCCAATTCGAACATTGCGCCAGGGATGAGGCGCTGCTTCTCGTCTTTCTCGGCAGACTCTCAACCAAGAAAATGCGGAAGGCAATCGCCCATGTGGCACTGAAGACCAGGGCAAACAAATAGATGCCAACGATGACGACCCAGCGCCCTGCACCTCGGTCAGAGTGGACTTCATTCGCGGCATACAGGCTGCCTATCACCAGCATAATCGCCGTGATGAGTACCCCTCCCAAGAGAGACGACGTCCGGCGGCCCCAGTGATCAGCGAGAATAGTGGCTGGAATACTGATGCCCAAGATCACAAGGCCACTTACACCCGACGCCAGGAAAGTTGCCTTCTCTGAGCTCAGGCCGGCCTCACGGAACAGAATGGGGGCGTAATACAGCACGCCATCGATGCCCGCGAGCTGCTGGAATGCCATGATAAAGCACCCGAAAGCAGTCCGTGCACGAAAAGGGGGTGAGAATGCCTCCCCAAATTCTGCAAATGTCTGCTTTAGGGACTCGACGAGCGAGACGTCAACGGCATGCTCTAGGCCAGAAGATGACTGAGCAAGCAGTTCCTCCTGCTCCTCGGGGTCAAGACCCAGCTGTCCTACGACCGCTCGTGCTTCCTTGACGCGGCCTTTGGCGAGCAACCAGCGGGGCGACGGCGGGACCAGCGCACATAGAGCTGCAAAGGAAAATGCGAGAAACGAGGCAAAAGCCATTGGCAATCGCCACGAGAGCGATGTCCCTTCTATGCGTGCGGTCCCATAGCATATGAAGAACCCAATGACAAGTCCACATACGGTTGAGAACTGAGGAAAGGAGGACACCACGCCTCGTCCTCGAGTTGGTGAGATTTCGGCGACTTGAACGAAGGTTGTGCTGAGAAATTGCCCCTCTCCAATGCCTTTAATTAGTCTGCCGACGACAAACATGGACAGTTTGGTGGAAGCACACTCGATCGCGGCGCCGATGCCGAAGATGCATGAACCCAGGATGATGAGGCGAACTCTACCGTATTTGTCTGCAAAAATTCCGGCTACGAGCGCGGAAAGTGCTGCTGTTGGGAGGATCGACGAGACAATCAGACCGTGTGTGGTAGACGAGAACTCACCAAACGTCTTGACGAACTCGGTCATTGTAGTAACCGGACCGATCGTGCCAGTGTCGAGACTCAGGGAGTAATATTAGAAGGATTGAATAAGACAAAGATTACAACTCAGGAGAAACTCACCCGAAGAGCAATGTCACGCACGACACGATGATGCTTGCCCTGATATACAGAGGCATCTTCGTTAGGGGACTGACAAGTCCACCCGTCATCTTGAGTTACTACAAGAATATATAGCCTTCCAATTTTAATTTTGCCTCTGTCCGGAGTGTGTGCAGGTTGCCTATTAATGATTCCAACCTTGTTCTCAGGGGCGAGCTTGATGCGAAATTCTCGAAAATTATAGTTTCGTCCAAGGACAGAAGACAAGTGTATTGTGGCATAGCAGATGCCTTTATACGCCTTTCGTGATGTCGAAAACCTCTTCAACTGAGTCAACGGCCCGGGGAGTTTCGACCGTCGCCTCTTACCTAAGGTGGAGAACACGTTTGTTATCATGCACATTCACCGGACGACTGTCACCCTGTATCATTCACTCCGAGAAAGTTCACGATAAGATCCTGAAGGGCGCATCGACTACACGGAGTTTCCAGGAAGAGAATCGACTGCCTCCTCTCGACCAATCTTGGGCCCTTTCATATTATCCTTTCGAAATGCCTGTGACGCATACGCAATATCCTGCTATCGTTAGGGGACAAGCGGGAGACATCATCGGCGCCGGCTACCCCACTAAGGGCCGAGAATGGCTACTCCGTAAGCCGGGATCACGCCCGGTCGTGCTTCCACCCGCGGCGTTGCAGTAAATTGCCGCCCGCGAGTGCCCACCTCAAATCATTTGCTATCAATCATCACGATGGTCTTGATAGAATCTGAATACGATGTATTATCGACTGCCGTACTGAAAACAAAAATGCTCTAGAAGTAGGTATCTATCTTGAGAATGGCGGGTAGGGAAAAGCCATGGCAGCTTGTTCCAAATTTGGCACGGAGGTAAAGCCGTGCTAGCGCAGAACAACAGTTCTTAAGAAGCTTAACTGTATGGGTGAGTTGCTAAGTATTCTCGATACTGACTCTGCCCTGCCTGCCTGCTCACTTGGATAGGATGTGGAAATTGAACACCCAACAGTAAGCGAGATGATTGGTCACTTTTGCAACGTATTGCAGATCCCATGTCCATAACATATGCAGGAGACTTTTGTAGCACCCTGCAGGGGTTCAACATGCTGAAGTTCTGCGAGAGTCTCATAAGATAGGGTATAAGGCTGAAGCATCTGGGTTTCCTACGACTGAGTCTTATCCCCTGCATTACCAACCTTCAAGGATCGATGACCTCGGCCTTGCTTTCTCCTTCAATCTATGAATTTCGCACTACAGTAACAATGGAGCTCAATGTCCAAAACGGAGATGGTAACTATCAACCAGGCACCTCGTCTCCGTTCCGCCCACAGTCAGACAAGGATTGGGACGAAAGGAGAGCCACCATTGAAGATCTGTATTGCAACCAAGATCTCGATCTACGCAACCTGATCGCCATCATGAAGGAGCAGAACTTCATTGCAACGTCCGTCCTGAAGATATGTGTAGCCTTATCGCCTACTGATTAAATTTTAGAGAAAAACAATATAAAAGGCAAATCAAGCGATGGTGCATTGAAAAGAATGTCAAGGAACATGAATATCATCATATTATGAGAATCAAAGCCCGAAGGCGATCCCAAGGAAAGCAAACTCAATTCAATGTGCGAAAGCGACCTGTGCCACAGGGGAAAATCGATCGCTTTGAAAGGCGACTCGAGCACTTGGCCAAGAGCGGAGAAGTGCCTTCAATGAGCGGTATCCGTAAGTGCTCGACAGAACATCCTCAGAAGTTTTTCGCCCTGACGGAGCATAGCGAAAACTCCTCCCGATATTTCATACAGCACACCGATGGGATGTGCAAGCAGAGAGGACTCTGAAGGCTTAGGACCAAATCTGAAAGTATCAACTCAGCATATGCAAACTAAGGAACCGATACCTCTGTCACTACTCTACTTTATGGATCTAGGTCTTGGGGAGCGTAGTAGATTGGTCGATGATGAGTGGGCAATCTCAATCCAAGGAGAGATGAATGGCAAATGCAACCCGACAATGGAAGCGACATCACAGGAAAGGCTGAAGCGGGCTGCGGATCTGTTCTTCGTCCTATCGAATGGCACGATCGCCTTCCAACTCTACGAGAGATTGTACCAATCTCTAAACACTCATCCCACAACATCAATAAGTAAAGAGATGGTTATTATCTCTCTAGTACGCTCTACACAGACACCCACACAGGCTCAGACGGCGAGGAATATACTGAGCAATCATTTCGCTCCTGTTCTTGCGGCAGGAGGGCCTTGTGAACAGTTCTTACCGCGCATTCTGGACATTTGGCTCGATAGGATGATGGGTAATCCTTACCTCAGCCGACTACAAATACTTATGAACAGTATCCTGATTTCTGAGAGCCAGCTTGAACAACTGCCGCGTAGATGCTTCTCCATTGATGTTGTCATGGCCATTTTTCTACACTTTGGGTTCTGTGCGCGATTCATGGGCGGATGCATAAGCGATCAGGATCATGAGGTTACCACTTTGGGTTGGGAACGAACCTTGTTCGCGGCACAACAACCATTCTCCACAGTCCTCGACAGTATCGACTTAGACTCTCACTGCATTCGTAACTGTATCAACTGGTGTGCAGATGAGTTATGGCAATACTCGAGCGCGTTTCTCAATTTTGTTGTACCCTCAGTGCGAGCATCACCATCGGGAGAAAGAACCTCTGAATGCCCTTCTTTACAGCAAGACGACTTACTTCACTTGTTCTATTTTCTATGGAGTAGATATCAGCTATCTATCGTCCATAAGCCAGCAAGTCTAGCTTGGCATCTCAAGGCAGAGAATGAATTAGGCATCTCGGCAACCGAGCTACTACTAATAGTCTGCAACATGATTAACCTACCCCAGAGGCACAGTAACATTGCCCCCTTCCCGACAACGGTTACACATCTCGAAAACACTCCAACTGGATTCCTACGTCACTGCCTTTATAGAGTGGGGATTTTGAAGTCATTTGAGGACAAGATTGTGGCTCATGATTTTTTCGAAAGACTCGCCCCTGCACCGAAACTCCAGTTTCGACTCTCTGTTCAAGGTGTGCGCTATTCGAATATACGACAACATGCCAGCACTCTTCTGGGTATTCATATCGAGCGAACATCTCATGGGGCTACCAACTGTCTCGATGCGCCCGATGCCCTGACAATCGACAGATTACTTCCTATTTACTTGTGTGGTTGGAGAAGACGATTCCGGCCTGCTCGATACCGACGCCCGAAGGAAACAAGCCCCGAGAACGCTGCAATGGTAACCATGGAAGGCTGCTTGAAAGAGACGGGTATGACTCTCGAGTGTCTGTTGCAACATCATGAAGCATTTTGTGAGCTCGAGAGTCCTTTGAAGTCACGGTCAAGGGTCGATGTTGATCGTCTTAGCGACATTTGTCTTCTATCAAGTATCGTATCCTCGAGTGGAAGCTATGCTGAGTTCAAGAGCCTGGCTCGCCGCATAGGTCGTGAGCAGAGCTCCCACGAAAGCGCTAACGCAAAGCTGTAGCTTGCAGCCTGGCTTGGACAAACTATCAAACAGAGACGAGAACGGCTTGGGGGCGCAATGTAGAAATATATACATGTTGATTTTATTTGGTAACATTGAGTTGTGTTAGTGATTTCCAGCGTCCCGATGATATTTCTGTATCTAGATTCTGAAAAGGTTATCGACAGACTCATATCCATTATTTGTCGATCTATAGAAGGCTACCAAAAACTCCAGGAGACCGGATCGACGCCCAGTGGCCACGCTGAATATGTGTATGGAAACGATGTGTGGATACGCATATTGATCCCCACCCTATTATGAATATAGGCCAACGCCAGTACATGTGGCACACAGCGGGGTTCCGGCCTGTCGAGCCGGCCAACAACTCTACACTACCTGCAGCTCTGTCGTCAACTGACGTTTCAGGTCGTTTTTTGCTACTCATTTGTGCTTCGAGGTCGGAGGAACTACTTCTTCTCACCAAATAGCATCAATGGCACAAATGTTTCAGGTAGCAAGGCCCCGATGCTTATCACTGCTTCTCTATCATGGCCCAATAAAGCCGTTGTTGTCCTCGGTAGCACAAACTCGCGGACTTTCGACTTCTGGTGCCGTGTCAAAGATGCAAAAATCGAATAGGCTCAGGACCTCCTTTATGAATGATAAGGGGCCTAGCTTTGGGTTATGGCAGATGTTGCCCGGTGCCAATGTTTCAAGGGCCTTGGCAAGAGCGAACGTTGATTGGATCATGATAGACTGCGAACATGGCAACATCGATGGTGAGTATCAAATGGTTTACTTGAGGAATTGCTTCAGCCTGAACCGTTTCTTTCTCTGTCAGGTCTCGTAATGGTTGACATATAATCAGATGCGTCTATGCACGAAGCGGTCCCAGCTGTCGCTGCTACAGGTGTATCGCCAATTGTTAGGATACCTGACTTTCAGCCTTGGATGGTAAAGAGTAAGTCAAACAGTTGACAATCCAGTCTTTATTTTCTTCTAAAGCCTAATATCTCGGCAGGAGCGCTTGATACTGGTGCTCATGGTGTTCGTAACAACTAAACCCCAGCCTGAAATGAATATCGACTAACGCAACAACCAGGTTCTGGTTCCACTCATCCGAACTGTTGAAGAGGTGAAGAGTGTTGTTCAAGCCACCAAATTCCCCCCTCAAGGTAGCCGGGGTTTTGGTTCAGCGTTGTCGATGCAGAACTTCTCTCCTCAGCCAACAATGACCGAGTACTTGCAACAAGCCAACGACGCTTTATTGACCATGGTTCAAATTGAAACTCAAGAAGCGCTCGACGTCGTGGAAGAGATCGCAACCTTGGTAGACGTTGTCTTCATTGGGCCGTTCGACCTGGGCAACAACATTGGCCATCCTATCCTCAACGGCGTGATGGAGCCTGCGCTAGAGGATGCTATCGAGAAAGTCTTGACTGCTGCGAAGAAGGCCGGCAGCAAATGCGGCATATTCTGTTCGAGTGGCGAACAAGCAAAGAAGTATGCCGAGATGGGCTTTGACATGATCAATGTAGCCACAGATATCACGGCGTTGGAGTTTGTCACAAAGGAAGCCCTCTCGATAGCGAAGGGAACAGCCGCGCCGGAGAAGGGGAAGGGTTATTAATCCTTGCGCTGTTGACCTGATTGGTTCAGTTCACGCTTTCTCGGCAGCATCCATCTTTGCCTTGACTTCCTCTGGGGTGAAACGATGCATAAGCTTGAGAGCCTGTGACGCAAGCTTGGGCTCTTCCTCCGGAGCTTTGGCCTTGCTAATGTGAATCTACACCAATTGTTAAACGAGACTCTCAACGCCCAACACATGTGAATGGTAACTCACGACAGGAACGTCTAAATCATAAAGGTCTCTCCAGCCTTGTGCTTCCGGCTTGATAATGTCGATCTCTTTGAAAGCAAAGGGGCGAGTGTCCCAAACGTCAGACAGGACGGAGCGGGCCTTGGTACAAAGGCCGCAGTTCTCCCTGGTAAAGAGAGTGATCCGACAGGCCTGTAGAAGACGGTTTGAAATCCGCATCCTGATTGTGAGAAGTAGAACTAGAAAGCCTCGCAACTAGTTTGTGAAGAGTTCAGCTAAGCAAACGCAGGCAGCTTGACGACTATAACGACCGTATCAAAAAGTTGTCGAAATTGGGTGATCTTCCCTTCTGCATATTGACCCTGGTAGCGGATTTAGTGGCGCAACTAGGCCAACAGGGGCAGATATAGAGCTTACTTTATAGGTACTTCACACCTAATCAGCATTGATGTATCTAGAGAAACAACTTGCGACAAAGAAGATTGCCCAATGTGTTTTCAGGCCGTAACAGAGTCTTACAGCTTCAGTTCCTACAAACTTTGAGATATATAGCATCAGAGAGAATTGATCGGGGCTCGTAGGCTACTATGAAATCTACTTGCATGTTAGAAGTGACCTGGAAGTCATATCTCTTGGGTACCCCCTCCAACCCCACCCCCCACCACACCTTGCCGTCAAAGAGGGAAGAGCTTCTCGAAGCTTCAAGAAATCTTGACCCAACCTCAAACGGCGAGCGCGCAATTACGACGGTCATTTCCTTCCAACACCTCCAACTCCCCGCTGTGCCTCTTTGATCCACTGCGAACCTTGATAAGCAGGTAGCCAGGTTGTTCAACTCGTGGGCCATCGAGTGCCATTATTGCGAATCATGGCTCAAAAATGCGTCCACCAAGGCTGCGGGAAGACGTACACTGACCCGGATGAGGTTTGCACCTATCACCCGGGGCCGCCCATCTTCCACGAAGGACAGAAAGGTAAGCGACAATACGCATGAGGGCAGGCTATGCAACTCTTTCTCCAGCAACTATGCGGCCGCTTCAGCTAGGAAATAGTTGCTGACAATTGCTCTACGTCGTACAGGATGGAAGTGCTGCAAGCCCCGGGTCCTGACCTTCGAGGAGTTCATGTCCATCCCGCCCTGCACCGAGGGCAAGCACAGCACGACAGACTTGCCGCCACAGATCGAGAAGAAGGAGGCTCCCGCAGATGCCGCCGTGCTCAAGGAGCAAGAATCGTCAGGGCCCGCGATGCCCCGCGCCCCGATCGCCGCGCCTCAAGGGGCTCCAACTCCTCCGCCTCCGCCGCCCGAGTCCGAGGACGATGATCCGGAATTGGAGATTCCCGATGGCAAGACATGCCGCCGCCGCGCGTGCGGGGCGACCTACAAGAAGGGACAATCAAGAGACAGCGAATCGTGTACGCACCACCCGGGCGTGCCGATCTTCCACGAGGGCAGCAAAGGCTATAGCTGTTGCAAGCGGAGGGTGCTAGAATTTGACCAGTTCATGAAGATTGAGGGCTGCAAGACCAAAGACAGACACCTGTTCGTAGGCAGTGGGAAGAAGGACAAGTCCGGAAAGGAGGGAGGAGCGGCAGAGGAACTACTGGAAACTGTGCGGTGAGTATCTACTTTGCCTCCTTGCCCATGATTGCGTGTATGTTCTCGTGGCGGTCACACATGCACCGTCCGCCAAGTCTACGCACACCGCAAGTAATTTCACAGCATTCGAATGCTGATGCGGTCACAGAACGGACTTCTACCAGACGCCAAGCGCCGTGATCGCGTCTTTCTTCCTGAAGAAGATCAACAAGGACAGCGCCAAGGTCATCTTCACGTCACAGAGCATACAGCTCGATCTGCCGACGACCGACAGCCCCACGCCGAAGCGGTACAGGACAGACGTGCCGCTGTTTGCCCCCATCAACCCAGACAAGTCAACATTCAAGATCCTGGGCACGAAGCTCGAAGTATCACTCGCCAAGGCGGATGTGAGCTCTTGGCCAGTTTTGAGAAGCGATGATCGGCTTACAGGTGAGATTCTGCAAGTAGGAAGAGCCGGCAAAGTGCAGCAGTAGAAGTTGTTGAAGTGGGAGGATACGGTCCTGCACGACAGGTTGCCTCAGGGATGTGCAGGTTAGAGCTGCAAAAAGGAGAGACAGCCAAGCCAGGATCATTGCGTATAGGCTCCGCAATCGCACCTAGACGATAGATAACAGCGATGAAAAGAAGATGGGCGGCGAGGAGGGGGAAAACGTGCGTCGCAGTAGCAGTTGCACAGCCCACCTGAAATAAGACATCGAATTTACCGTGTCCTCATGCACCATGGCCTTTGGGCGTTGTTGGTGATAGTGACTGCCGAATATCTTTGTGTCTGTATTCTAAACAAATCATCAAGCCAAGATATGATGCTACCCTCTACTATTTGTCCAATATCCCTGCCGTTTCTTGAGTGAGAGATTTACGCTAGATCTGGAAACGAATTATCCGGCCATTGGGTCTCGGGACGTGCCTAAACACTTGCAGCCTAGGATCATGCGTGGCTGAGTGGTACTCCTTTCTTTTCCCTCCAAGAACCGCATAGCTGAACATCGATACCGAACTGAAGAATCCGATGCTGTTTTCTTATCGAGCGTCCGCGCCGAGAAACGGAGCTATTATACTTTAATTTCGATCGGCTATGTCTCCAGCAGCTTCCGGCTTCCATCATGACGCCACGGCGCAGAGGAATGAATGTAAGCATCTTCCCGGCGCGGCGGTATCAATTCACCACAGGACTCAGGCCAAAAAAAAAAAAAAAAAGCTACAAGAACTGTCACCTTAG